GAAAAATATTCAAGAGTATAAAAGTTTAGATTTTTTTTCACATACTATTTTGTTTTTATTTTTAATTTGTGTAGGATAAAAATTAACAGATAGAAGTTTGCAGTTGAGGGTGAAGGTAATGTTTTTCAAACCATTTAACCTTAAAATCTCAAAAATAACGCGTTATTTAGATTCAATTTTACAGTATTCTTAGCTGTCGAAATTTCTCTTAAAATCGTTTTTGTGTCGTCCTAATAGCTTTAAAATTAAGGAAGTTGTTATTAAAAAACCAAAGGTACCTCACTGCTTCAATTTTCGGAGAATATCAATATTTTGGTTATCCACAACTTTGAAGCATTCATAGGCGATGATAGATACATAACTATTTTAATATACCTTACAATTATTTTATGTATACATAAATTTATTTTAACAATACCTAATAAATTTGTTTACTATATACTCGTACATAGAATACCTTCACTGTTTCCCTTTAATCTTTTAATAATTCAACAACAAACCCAGTGATCTGATAAACACTATAGGAGAGCATTATAATTCATTTTAAATAATTTAAAAGCCATTTTTTATATATTTTTTCATTGGGGATGGTTTTTAAGGGTCAAAACAATGCGATAAATTATAAATTGTATTGTAAACAGCTAAAAGAATTTAATTTATCCTGTTTGTACTATCAAATCATTCAAACTGTTAAAAACTTTTTTTTTGTTTTTAGGGGTAGTTTTTTAAGGATTGAAATATTGTAATAAACTATTTATAATACCATAAACTGCTGAAAAGGTTTCTATCTATAATATATGCGCTATAAGAATATTTTAAGGTCAAAGAAACTATTAATTTTATATTTTTATCATTAAGGGTGGTTTTTAATGGTTGAAACTTTATAAAAATGACATAAATTATAACCCCCAATATAAAACAATATTTATTCTATATATTAAGATATGATTTTAGTCTATATAACACCTATTTTTATATTTATTCAGTTTTTTAGCATAAGAGGTGGTTTTCATCCCCTAAAAATAAGAAGCACATATATAACTTTTCATCTACAGGGTGAAATAAGCTTCCAAATTTTCATAAAAATCTGATCTATCTGAAAGTATTTGGAGGTTTGACCCTATTTTTCTCTTCGTCGATATAACTTCATCAGCTATGAAGAAATTAATTGAAACATTCAAGGAGACTGAATCAATTAGTGATCTTAAACACATCGAAGTAGTTCACGAGAGTGTTGCTGCACTTAGGCATTTTAGTCAAGAACTGAAGCCTACTGATCACGCAGAGCGACGAGAGATCGTTGAAGGATTATGGTTATGGAGCACTAAGTGGATGCTGATTTTTCGAAAAAAATCCACCAGAGATTGTTGGGAAGCAAATGCATCCACAACGTGTCACTGTTTGGTGCAGATTTTGGGCTGAAGGCATTATCGGATCATTCTTCTTTGAAATTCGAAACCATATTTGTGACGTGAATTACTCACGTTTCTAATGCTTTGCAATTATTTTTTTAAATTTCCACATTTTTCATAGCAGCCTCTTATTTTACAAATATGTCACGTGATATTTACATTTCGTAAATTTACTACCGGTTTATTTATTTATTATACTGTTATCACATTTTTATGAGTATCACTTTGTAAACTTTATCTACAATAAAATATTCATTAAAATACCTTTCGTCAATAAACATTAACTAATTAATGTGTAATACACCAGGAAGTAAACATTTCATTTTGTGTTACTCGAGAAAAAAACATCAATTTGGCCAAATCGATAATTGTTATAATTATTATAGTTAGGCACGTTGATTTGTAAAAGTATACACCAACTACTTACTCAAGAATTTTTTCTTGTATATCAGTGGTGCACTGTATTTTATCATAATCACTTGTCGAAGCCTTCATTTCGTAATCAGTTATTAATTCAGTCTGTCAGCTATTCGCGTAAATAGGTTAGGTATATTTATCTGATTAGATAAAGTAGAGTAATAAAAATTAAACTTAATGTATGAATCTCTTTATAAATGTCAAGACAAACACAGTCAAAAATTATTATTGTTTACAGAGTGTTCGGAAAACTAATGACTCAACATTGACGGAGTTACATAACATCAAATATTTCTTTTGGTGCAACTAAAGGGCTTCAACAACCCTTATTGACCCGAAAGTTAAGAAATGATTGAACTTTTGTCTCAATGTTGTAGTCGTAAACCCAGCTTCCGTCTCCCGTTATGATCCATTGAATGAATGTTTCATCATCATTGGATTGTTCAATGAGTTGCCGACAAACGTCCACAGGACTTTCTTCCTGTTGTTCGGTCATCAAACGAGGAACTTTGCTGTAACTGGATACATGTTCAATTTTTTAGTCAAAATTTCATGGCATAGCCCATTTGCAATTTACATGCACCAGATCTTTAACTTTCTGAACATGGGAGTCATCAGTTGAAATGGAGGGCCTGTCTGGAAGAGAATCACCTTCAATTGACCCGACGACTACTTTTAAAAACATTGCATATAACCCACGGCACCATTTCCGTAAGGTTGTTTTAAAATTTAAACTCGTAACAATATCACGAAAATTAAATGAGATATTAACAATCCAAGAACATGTGGTTACAGAAAAGATTATGTATATATATATATCACCAACTCAAATCTCAATTCAAAAAGTTCGGTTATTTTCTGAACAGGCTTCGTATACAGGGTCGGAAAGTCCCCATGGTTCATCGGCCGTTACGTGAGAGCGATAAAGAAAGTCATAGAAGTCCGTGCGATAGAGAAAGTTGGCTATAACAAAGGCGTCTAATAGTCACCGCCCATTTCGTCTTTCCACAAATAAGATCCACTTCTTATTATTTATTTTTGAACAATCCTAGCATCAGCGATTAAATTTGCACGAGTGTTACTGCAAGTAAAAAGTGTTTGTACTACAAGAGAGTAAGAGAAAAAGAGTATTTTAATTATATCAGTCACTATTCACCGTGAACGAAATAATCACCCTGAAACGGTTGCTAAAACGTCTTAATGATTCGTATAAATTAAAATTTATTCCTGTAACAGATTAGCGTCATAATTACTCGTAATAGTAAAAAATATAATTATATTTTAGGAAATTATATTTAAGTTGCAGTCGTCAAAAATAAATTATATAAAACAGGGTACTCGATCAACATTAGTTTTAAGTACATCGTTGAGGAACCTGAAGGATATTTATGTGGATCACAATATACACCACAATTATTAATAATTAAAATAATAAGCGCAGTATTTTTTAACGAAAAGTTAAATAATTTCAATGAATTTAAAATGCTGGTGTCACTGTTTTCACGGAAATATTTAGGCGTAAGCTAGAATAAATGAAAAATTCCAGTTATTAATAAGTTTACTATCTCCATGTAAATATTGTTATTTAAATCATTTCAAATAATATTTACAATGGTATTGTACATTTAATTATATCTTCCTGCATTAAGGGTATTTGTCGGAGTAATTGAATAGACCCAATCTTCGTTCCAAAAGTACCTTATGGTAAAATATCGTTCATCGTTGTTCACAGAGGGCGCCTTACGACCAATTTTACCGAAAATAAATTTAGTTAATAACTTTTTACCCTGTATGTCTAACATGAAACTTGATTCAAAACCTGAAAGAGCAATCATTTTTCCATTAATTATGTACTCTTGTTTCATTTCGGTATCTCTATCTGTTTTCGAGAAAAATCGATTTAACGAACACTATGTCTTGATAATATGAGAAATTAAAAATTAACAATACAACAAATGAAATACGTAATAATGATTTAAAGTAATTGTTCGAAAAATCCACTGTTGACACTTTACACAACGTTTTCTGAGAAATCTTCAAGTTTGAAACAAAATATTGGGATTGAGTCTGACTTCGTTGGTAGCGATTTGTATTCTTTGCCATAACTCTTCACGCGAACCAATAGATTCTTTGTAAACGATACTTTCATTCGAGATCAAATAGAAAAATTAAGAGGATTGAAGTCGTGACTTCTGGGTGGCCAAGCAAAAATGCTTCCACGGCTTGAAGAAGTTCTACTTTATTTAAGAAGAGACATGTGGTTCATGTACGACGGAGCACCAGCGCATTTTTTTGTCGGCCAGTGCGTGCATATTTAAATGCAGTTTTTCCAAATCGCTGGATTGGCCATGTAAGCATTTTTGCTTGGCCACCCAGAAGTCCGGACTTCAATCAACTTGATTTTTCTTTTTGGTCTCGAATGAAAGAGATAGCTTACAAAGAATCTATTGGTTTGCGTGAAGAGTTATGGCAAAGAATACAAATCGCTACCAACGAAGTCAGACTCAATCCCAATATGTTGTTTCAAACTCGAAGATCTTTCAGAAAACGTTGTGTAAAGTGCATCAGTGTCAACAGTGGATTCTTCGAACAATTACTTTAAATCATTATTACGTATTTCAACTGTTTTATTGCTAATTGTTGTAATAACATGAAGAAACACTTAGTTTGTTTCGCTTTTAATTTCTCGTATTATCAAGACATAGAGTTCGTCAAATCGATTTTTCTCGAAAACGGATCGAGATCTCGAAATGAAACAAGAGTACATAATTAATGGAAAAATGATTGCTCTTTTAGGTTTTGAATCAAGTTTCATGTTAGACATACAGGGTAAAAAGTTATTAATTAAATTTTCGGTAAAATTGGTCGTATGTGGCGCCCTCTGTGAGCAACGATGAAATTACAACACGCATCTTGTTTGCCGCTTAAAAAAATATAGGTTCACAAATTTTCAAGTTCCTAAGTTTCAGAATAATCGCAAAAAAACGATTTAAAATTTTAACTTTCAACACCCTGTATTTCCGAAACTATCAACTTTCGGATAAGGCATGTTTGCGCCAATAGTTACCATTTCACGTGTAGTCCCTGTATATGAGTAGATCCAGCCTCTGAATTTTTTGCTCAGTTTCTGAACAGAATGTACAAATATTGAATAAAAAATTTAGTACGTACCTAGAACTGATGTCAGACTTGTCGTTTTCATCGTCTGCATATTTCGCATCCTGTCCTACCTGCAAAGGAATTATTCTGTACAATATGCATCCCTAAAGCAATGTTTTTTTTATAGTAATTGTATACAGCTTGTCAGGAAGCCACTGCACCCCACAGGAAATAGTTGGGGGTACTCAAATAGGGATATCGAGGTGGTCAAAGCACATGGCCATTTTTTCTATTGAAGGAATTTGGAATACATCCAGAATCGTGCTCTTGCTTTAACCATAAGCTCATATAATTATAGAGAAGTAATATAAAAAAAAATAACAAAGAATAAACTTGTAATTTTGACTTTTAATCAAGAAACGTGTATTTCGCATATTGTTAATTACGTTTTATTTAATTTTTTTTTATTTTTTCCATATTCTATAAAGATGTACATACCACTGGAATACCCTGTATATACACGGTACGTATATACGCACCTCTATAAAATCCTGTAAGTTTGGAAGTGAAATACTATTCCTTCGCGGTAATATAACAATATTTTCTTTGTCCTTCAACTCTTCGCTGGGGCTTTCTTTAATACCAGTGAACTCTGTTTCTTCATCCACATAAGGCAAACTATCTTGATGTGGTGGCGTGTCTACTACAATAGTTGGAATTTCTTCACATCCTCCTACTTTGCTGTATTTGTACTTATTCATATCTAAATTTTCTGAAATGCAGAAAGGTTAAAAATGTGGTGTTCAACTGTTTAGTAACTCTGTAAACTGTAAGGGCGTATTGATCAAAATTTCTAAAATAATCTGTGGCGTTGGCTTTTCTTATATCTTTGTTAAATACGCGTGTTAAGATATTTATGTAAAAGCGATATTTAAAAAAAAGCGAAGACATTTTCTTGCATCCTTGGTTATCAAAATGTACTTAAAAACTTGTCTGTAAAATTTTAATATTTATTCCACTACTGGACATTATAGGTACTAATATGCTGGATTTCTGGTGTGCAATTATTACGTCATTAAAGCAATATTTAAGTTCGACGCCAAAAATTAACTACGTACACTTTGGTTTATTTATGCAATTAATGTATACTGTCCGCAGACAATTATGTTATAAATTTATATGTTCTACGTATGTAATAACTAATTAGTCAATATTGGCTCGCCTTTTTAACACATATTGACTCGGTCTAAAATTTATATTTTTACTAATACTTAGTTTGAGTCGGTTTCAGGATGAATTCGGTTTCAAATTGAAACCATTTACAGAAATTTACAGAGACGTTTTTATACAACTATTTTGATCTAGAAAACGCAAATACTAATGTAAAAGTGTAGTTATAGCTTCTCAAACTTAACGTGGAGGATAAAATAGCTTTGCAGACCATGCTGGTAGCATCCGAATACTTTCATGCTACCACCAAGGGCAATTTCATGGTTATTGTATATAGATCTTTCCGGAATGGTGTTAACATTCGTTGCCTTATTGAACACCAAACCTATCTTTCGATTTGCCAAGTAAATTTTTATTACAATATCAAAAAAGTCGCACAATTTCAAATTGTCCCTCAAGAGCTGTAGTTTCATTGCTACATAAGCTTACAACCAACTACTCCAATACCTGTGGCACTGTCTGTGTTGGAACTATCAATAAGTTTTCCTCCAATTGTTACATCTAATGTGGTGTGGTGTCATTTTCGTTTCTATTTATATTATTATATAGAGTAGTAGAAGATTTGGCCAGGTTTTTAAAGCTATTGGTGACGACGTTATGAGACCTGTTATACTTAGATCAATCTCTGAAATTTAATTAATTTCTCTTTTGCGGTCTGTTTGACTTTAAGCTTCACTTTTCAAACGTTCTGTCATTTTCTTTGCTTATCTATACTACTACTATAAAGAAAAATATAATTTTGTGCTCATAATTAATTGTTATTTGTTTAACTTGGCAGTAAAGCACTAGATTTAATGCCGCGACTGGTATTTAACAGACGAGGCGCAGCCGAGTCTATTAAAGCAGCCAAGACCAAGGCATTAAATCTACTTTACCGTCAAGTTAAACACGTACTTTTTTCGTCGATCAATTTAAATTTTTTCATAATAACAAACAAAGCTATATATACTTTATACTATTAAAACCGTTTGATACTTCTTTCTTCTTTGTGTGGTTGCTATGAGACGAGCGTTATTAAGTAAATAACTTAGGTACACAGTAACCGCCATATTGTTCCTATTTACATCCATAAAAATAACTATTTGTTATTTGAGATGGAAGAATTCACATTAACTCCGCCAGAAATTATTGAATCATCAAAGCAAATAGAGTGTAATTTATTACCAGAAAAATCGAAGAAGGTATACCGGCATATAAAAAAATTATTGGTTATCGGCCTGAGAATAACATTATGTCTTTTACAGAAAATGTACTATTGATATATTTTTCTGAATTAAGCAAAATTCTTCAAAAATCTTCTTTATTATGGTCAATATATGCGATGCTCAATGCTATTTTGAATGTCTTTAACATCGATGTTGGAAAGTATCTAAAATTAAAAGCATACTTGAAACGGCAATCGGATGGATATCGCGCTAAAAATCACGCGTTTTAGAAAATAAACAAATTAAAACATTTATAATGGGGGCCCCTGATGATCCGTATTTAGGTAAAAAGGTAATAATAAACAAAATATTTTTGTAAAGGAAGAATACTGACTACTAGTGAAAACACTTCGAACTATACGGGGTAATCTATAAAAATTAAACTACAGCTTCCTAACGATATTTGTAATAGAAAAGTCGTATACGAAAAAGTTCTATTTTTGCGTTTTTTTTTTTGCGAATTAAAGTTCATTTATGGATCAAAATATTTTCTCTGGAACGGTCCTGTCCGTATGTTACATGAGTTACGTGCTGTAGACCAACAGCGTAAACAAATCGTCGTTGATAGAAGATAGAAAGATACTTCTCAATTTCTGGGCAAAAGTACAAACTAAGAAAAATAGATATTTTAAAAAACTGATATTTTCTTATTATAATTAATAGTAATTACTATTTTAAATGCATTGTTGTTACTGCAAGAGTTCGCAAACAAAACCACATCCGTAAGCATCTGTAGTTAGTTGCCAACTGCGTGCATTAAACAAACTCCATCAAAATATGGAACAAAATGAAATAAAACTTACCATTTCTAGAGAAAATGTTGAAGTTGATCCCCATTAGCGCGGATACAAGCATGGCAGCAATACACCCAATTTTGCCGAATATTTTCCCAAATTCTAGGTATTCCCCTAATTGTGTCAGCAGCTTCAAGTATACGGTTTCGCAATTCTTCCACCGTAGCAATTGAAATTTTATAAACCAATGACTTCAAGTGACTCCAAAGATAAAAGTCCATTGGAGTTAGATCGGGTGACCGAGGTGGCCACGGCACAGGACCAAAGTCTCCAATCCATCACTGAGGAAATATTTCATTCAAAAGTGTCGTTACTTCTCGAGTACTGTGTGGAGGAGCCCCATCTTGAAGATAAAACATGCTGGCTCGAACTTGTAATACCGCATCGTCCGATAATAATTCAGGCAACCGGTTCTCCAAAAAGTCAGTATATGTTGATCCATTTGGTCGTTCGTCCTTCAAAGAAATGGGGACCCACAAGTACATCGCCTATTATGCCAGCCCAAACATTTACCGAAAACCAATGTTGAAAATGAGTTTCCCTAATCGCGTGAGGATTTTCATCGGCCCATATGTGCATATTATGTAAATTCATTTCATCACGGGTAAATGTCGCCTCATCTGTTACACAAACATAAGCAGGAAAGTCTACTTGATTGGCACATTGCCGTAAAAACCATCTGCAAAAACGTATTCGTTGATCACAATCCGGGGGTAAAACCTGTTGAACTTATTGCAGATGATGGGGGGCCAACAGCTGGCGCCTTAAGATGCGATGTACGGTACGAGATGAGGTTCCTACTTGCTGTGCGAGTCGTCGAGTACTAATTGTGGGGTCTTCTTCAAGATTTTCCAACACTGCATCTTCAACATTAAGGTTCACTTGCTGACTACGTCCTTCTTCTCGAGGAATAACACTTCCTGTATCTCGCAGCCGCTGAACGCACTGTAGGATTGTATTTGCACATGGGGGGTGACGTTGTGGTCGTCGTTCCCGATACAACCTAATCGCCGCGAGCGCATTTTCTCCGGCTGCACCATACACTAACACCATATCGACACGTTCGGAAATAGTAAATGCATTGTTTTCTCAGTTCATTGTAAAACTAGTTTGTGCACAAACTAAAAAATTAAACAATGTAAGAAATAAGAATATCGTTTTTAATGTAATCGGCACGCTATTCTTATTTTTTACTTCTTTATAAAAATTACACTGTCATTATCGTGGAATTACAAAATAAAAACTTTTGTCTGGAATCTTTCGCTTTTTAACATTGATGGGTTGAAGGACGATGCTTAATATTTATTAATTAATTGAATAATGAATTCAACACAAATACAAAATCAGTTGACTGCACAAATTTGTTGACAATGTAACCTAACCTTCTTTTAGTATTACTAGTACCTATTAGATTATACCGACTTAAATTATAAGGTTGCATCTCGGGTCGCAAAAAAACATTTCCAAAGTTTTTAATAAATAACACAGGGTCGGCCTTCATTATCGTCGAATAAATGAACTTAAATTTACAAAAAAAAAACGCGAGAATATAACTTTTTCGTATAAGACTTTTCTATTACAAATATCATCAGGAAGCTGTAGTTTAATTTTTATAGATTATACATGCCACACCCTTTATAGACGAAGTAAATGTTTCAAAACAAACAGGACAAGGGATATCCCTTACAGGCTGTTCTAATTTCACTATAAATGTTTACAATAAATAAACTTACTTTCGTTAAAGAACAAATTTTAATTTTTAATTTAGCGGCAGTAAAAACTATTTTAATGCTTAGTCAGTGAATGTGACACTTTAGTGCCTCACAGCTGTCACTAAAACTACGCCTTTAAATCGATCGGTGAAAAAAATCATTTATGTGCACTTGTTACATAATTTAAATATATTTTTTTGAATATAACACCCTGTATATATTTCATTCAATATCGATTAATTTTCATTTTCGTCGATTAACGGTCTATGCAGAGAATTATGCGTGAATGTAATTTATTTTATAACCTTCTAACTTCCTTAAATGGAATAAAAAGCTATTTAATTCTGTTACAGCGTTTGTGTTGCAGCATTTCAAACTTTAAGCAAGTTATTTTGGTCACCCATTACATCATTAGAGAACTTATTCATCGAACAGGTGACTGAGGAAATCAGAAAAATAATCCCAGGTGTGTATTGATTTACGTGGATTCGCTGTTAGAATAATAAATTTCATTACTTACTTTCTTACTTCCTCAAAATCGAAATAATGATAATAAAGGTCTTGTCTTAAAAAAAGTACAACTTGGTTTGATTTAAAACTATCAAATCTGATCGATATTTCTGTAAAATTAAATTGATCATAAAATACAACATATTAATTGTGTTATCGTAAAATTATTCGGATCACAACGTAACAAACCTACGATGGGGATATAAATATCGTAATTTTCGAAGCAATAGGTATAAATTAAAATTTAAAGGCCAGTACATGTGTAGGTAAAAATAAATAATTTGATTTTTTGTTGCATACATACCTTTATCACTTTTTGTAATATAGGGACACAAAAGATACTAGTTTTTGTAACTTATTTGTGTTGTACACACCTCGCGTTATCTAAATCCGTTTGAAATAAGTAAGCCTGCACATCTAGAAAACATTTAACGAACTGTGTAAAATGTTAATTTACATACATGTTATTTGTTTATTCCGCTTCACGTCAAAGAGGATGAGAAAAAGTGATATTTATTTTTCTCTTTAATATGTTTACCGCAAACCATCAGATCATTAGATACACACATAACCTATATTATTAATAACAAAAAGTTACAGAAGTGTATAATTAATTAAACAACCAACAAATTAAATACCGCGCACGGCCTTAAGTACTCACATTAAATTAGTCTAAGACAACAAACACCTTCCACATTTTGAACTAACTAAAATGACCTTTAACTATTCCCACGAGATGCTTTATTTTGCTCCTACCATTTTATTGCAAATTTTTAATTACATTTTATTATTTTATTGCGGAGTAATTGCTGTTCGCCGTTACGTCAGAGTGTACCACAATTTTCATTCTACTTTCGTCGTATTTTCAAAGTTTATGTTAAACTATCAGTGGCTACACGTTTATGTTTTTTAAACATTGTTTCCGTGCATACGGGTTAAACTAGTATACATGTGTAAATACTTTTAGTTATCTTTTCAATATACAGGGTGGCCAAACGGTCGAAAAACGCCACAAATTGAGCGTCCCACTTTGATAATATACCTTTTTAGTAGTGACGTCGCATACGCCAAATAATAGGCAAACCCAGAGTGCACATTGTCATGAAGAATTTCTCAATTTTTTACTAGATCGACTTTCGACCTTATCTAATTTGGATATAAGTGCTAAAAAATGGCTTCTTTATCATGACCTTAAACATAGCGATATTCTGGCAATATTTGAAATTTTTTTACTTTTATAGTAATTAAAAAATTAAAATTATATCAATGTTACTGAGCATGCGCATTAAAAATAATTTCATGTAAGCGAAGTAGCCTCGCGACAAGGTATCAATCAAGAAGAAGTTTGGATGTGGTTAAGAGTACTTCTATAATAAATCACTTGAAGAAAAAAACACTGGATAAACACACTGACACAGTACAACACCAGGAAAAACAATAAGATTGGAAATTGAAAAATAAAATTGTGAGAATGAAGGAAGAAAATCAGCAGTGATAGATAATTTGTTTTACTTAGTAGAACTAGAAAACGTCAAGATTAAACAAAGCAATAGAAAATACGCTAATGATGACAGCGATAACATATCAACAAGACCTCACCTGCGTATGAGGCTATTTTTTCCGAGCATGAGCATTAGGAATAACACGGCTAATGTTAAATTTTTACTTTATTTAAATTTAGGAATATTTTTTTATGTGGTTTTTTGTAAGTTTTAAGCGCACTAGTGTATCTATTTTACCAAACACATGTTGGTTGTTCTTAATTACTTCTTAAAGTTGATCATTTTTATAGTATTTATGTAAATAATGCACAAGAGTCAGATTCGGTCTGTATAATTTCAACTATGACAATTTGTTGCGGGTTGCCTTGTTGCCTAAATATGTGACGTCACACTAAAAGAGTCTATTGGGAGTCATTCTTGGATAGGATGGAAATGGACTGCATGTCTCTGATGATCGCGTGACAGCACTATTTGAGGAATAGTAAGTTGTTTACTTACTAATTGAATACCTGTTGATGGATATCATCGAAAGCGTGCACTATTTGTTCGATTCTTGTGAATTGTTACATTACGTGCATTCTCGTGTTTCGCGTATACTCTTGCAGAAGACATCTTCATATCAGTAGTAGCCATATGTACAGGGTGAGTCAGTTTTTTGTAGTAGGATTTTAACAGTTGATAAAGAATCATTTTTTAATAAGAAAAATTCCTATAAACGTAGGTCTTAGAACGCTTCGTTTGTGAAATATAGGGTGTTGAAAACAAACTTTTTTAAGAATTTTTCTATCTCTAAAGGACCAACATTATATTGAACTGAGATTTGGTATTAATAACACATTAGTTATGGTGAATAAAACAAAGATATCTGTTATCCATTAATGTGACACCAGTGACGTGCCTGAGGTGGGTTACTGCCTCCTTTAAAAAAATAATTCGTACGCCCGTGGATTTTTCTGGAAAATAACATCATTTTTAAATTTTTTTGATCAATTCTGAACAAAACAGCTCTCTTTCAATTTTTTATAAAATGAACGGTTTTTGGTTAAATTCATTTGGCATGAAACTGTTCCAACGATATTGGTAATACATTTGTAATAAGAAAAATATGATGTACCCTGGAAATCAACAAAAACGATTAAATGTCATAACGTTGACATAAGAACGCAAACATTGTGTAACGTGTGTGTCAATTAGTTCTTTTTTTAAGTTCTGTGTTTGTTTTTTCATTTTTTTTTTTAGTTTAATATCTGTTGGTCTTTTAGAGACATTAAGAAAAATTCTTAAAAAAGTTTGTTTTCAACACCCTATCTCTCACAAATGAAGCGTTCTAAGACCTACGTTTATAGGACCTTTTCTTATTAAAAAATGAATCTCTATCAACTGTTAAAATCCTACCACAAAAAACTGACTCACCCTGTATATCCATCATATCAGCATATTTCAAGTTAACACATTTAAAGGCCATTTTTTAATCAATTTGTGCTACTAATTTACACACGATTAAAATGAGCTAAAATTTGATATTATGTAAATACATTCGGCAATTGTTTTTTCGCTCTTACAACTATTGTCAAAAATGATTCCAGTTTATTCACATTATTTTTTGCTTTTTGTAAAACTGTGGCATATACCGAAATATTTTAACCGATATTTTTTACTTCAGTTTTGTTGTGTATGTAATTTTTAATTTAAATTTTTTCTTGTTCTAAGTTTATTGCAAGCTATACAAAAATTGAAAATATATTATTTTTGCTAATTTCTCTGGGTCGTTCGAAAATGGAAACAGATTTTCACCATTTCTCGTTCTCTTCCAAATCCAAATACCGCTGTAAAACGAGTAGCTAGCTGCAAACACTCTAAATACAAGAACAAAAGTGGATGGCTAAGTTTAAAGATCTGCAACCAGCATTTCGTAGTTGATGACCATGATATATCGTCGTGTGATGTCCGTTTTTAGTATGAAAGGAGGCGTAGAAAAATAGAAGGTAGTCCTTATGTCCTAAAAAAAAATACACCAAACTTTATATTATATTTAATAAGAAGTAATTATTTTATGCTTCCTATACTACAGCTGTTCCCTTAGAGCATATACTACAAGGAAGCAAAGTGTAGATGCTGTAGAGAGAAAGCGATAGTTTGGGTACTACCTCTCTTTCTCTCTAATAGTTGAGGAAGAGTGGGGAAATCCCGCCCTTCACCCGAACATTGGCCAATCACGTGCCTGCGGGAAAGAGAAAGATAGTACCCAAACTATATTTTTCTCTCTTTGTCACTCTTCTACACTGTCGCCTTAAGCGTGCTTCCTCTATGAAGTTGATGCTCTAAGGCTGTTTCAAAATACCAAGTAGGTACTTGAATTGCCACAAACTCTTGAAATCAAAATATGACGAACTAATTTTAACCTTTACCCGAGGCTGTGTCTTTTAATCGCTAGAGAGCTTTTTAAGTGGGTAAATATTTTTAGTTTCTTCTAAATAATTGTAGAACGTTTTTTCTGATTTCTTCACTTCAAAACATAGTATGTACTGCAAGCTGCTACGGTGAACGCCACGCCGACAATGTCTTTCTCGGATGTCGAATGCGGATAATTCCAACAAATATCGTACAGACTGTACATATCTTTTAAGACTTGATTTTTAGTGATCACTTACCGATGGGGTACGGATACGTATCTTAACAGATTGTACCGGTAATTAACCAGGTCAGTTTTAAGTAATTATTTATAATGTACAAACATATAAAGTTAATCAATTATCTACTGAATAAATTTAACGGATTGCGAGTAATCAAGTCAAATATAATTAACTTTTACGGACAAATGCAATTATTATTAAAATTATAAAATAACAGTAAAATATCACATGTCAGAGAGTTCCGTTAATAACATTTATTGTTCGATATGCTTTGGTATGGAGAAATAAACAGTACGATATATTTGTTTTAGATGTACCCAATAAAAAAGATACAGGGTGATAAATTTACACTTACAGAAACACATGCATAATTTGAATAAACTTATTTCATTCTTTTATTGAAATAATTACTTAAGCAAAAATAAACTATTTATTACACCTTTAATTGCGAATATTTTCTCAAAAATGGTACAGATTATCGATATCGAATGATATTTTTATTATGGGCACTTCTCTCCATGAGATTATTGCAAGCCTACCCACCTTAATCTAAGCTTAATCTTATTTCTCTTTTAAATATTGATACACTTGAAATATTATAGGCACTATATACTATGTATGTATAGTATAGATGTCACAGTCACACGAGTATAATGTAACGTAAATATCCGTAATACGAGTGAGTTTCCAATATAATCGTATATATTTAAAACGAAATAAAGTCAATAAATGTGTTTGCCTTGTTTTATTAAGTTCTAAGTTGTTAATGTCGTACTGCATGCACCTGCATTTGCAAACCTTTATTCAACCAGCTTTCAAATTAAACCGATGAGGCTCCAAACCGCTCGCAACGACTAGAGCCACAGAGACGCATGGAAAAACCCGCCTCACACACAAACCACAAGCACAAGCAGGGATCAAGTGTCGTGAATGAAAATTCGGAAAGGCCAAAAATGAAATTCTAAGGCGAATATCCTTGTCGGACCACAGCGGAGCCACCATGACCTGCGATCGAACGTCGACTCTGTAATTCATTGACCAGAACGCTTACATGATCAGCTTTCAAACACATTGTATGTTGTACATTCTTCTGCAGATTCCAAACCTATTAGCTACTGTTAATAAATTATTATCAATAACACCATTTCCATAAATTCAGATCTAAAATTGACATTACGCGAAAATGCATAGTTACTTAGAAAATGGATGGAAAAGTTGCTGACAGTTGAATATTTGGAGCCATTTTTCGGTAGATTTGAAGTATATTAAATATATTTCGCGATTTAGAACCAGTCAAAGTCACTGTAAAGGAAGATGTAACGAGCATATTCAATGAAAACTTCGTTCTGTATATTAAGCTTAACCATAAAAAGTTTTCAGAGAGTTATATCATTAAAAACAAATTGGTTTCCACACACCCTTCAAGGTGCCTACACTAAAAAAATGTGTCGTACAGATAAAACCAACTAGATAGTGGCACGCCCAGAAAAAAAGTTTGGGAAGGGGCCGATTCAAAAGGAGGTCACAGTAATTATACATGTACAATTACAGTTAATTTAAGCAGTTATATTGTTAATACATAATCGTAGTAGTCGTGTATCATCTTTAATTTAAAATATAGTCACTGTAGTAGCGATGAGCGAGAAATAATAGAAAAATAGTATATTATAAGGTGTAGTTTCAACAAGAAATGAAAAAATCATGGAAGCAGACACGCGAAAATCAAATTCCCAACTTCTCAAGATCGTAAACAATGTCGCGTGGATCATCAAATGTCAAATATTATATTCAATTGCACTTCGTTGTCTTTGAGACCATCAGAAAAGTAAATACGACTTTTCTATGAAGAATTCATTTTTATATAGGTATAAAAAACAATTGAATATCTAGACTGAAATCTTTTATGTACGTATATAAGCAGAGTAGTGGCTTCTAAAGGCGGTATAGACCCTTAAGGTAAACCCCCGAAAGTTGTTTTTCCAAGATATCTCCGAAGCTTTTCAAGACATTTGGTAGCATAAAAACATTTTTTTAAGATTTAACATCTTCATCGGTCGGCATTTTATTGTTTCAAACATTTTTCTAATTTCATGTTTATGTTCCAAACCCGTCAATTCCATAAAACTATGGTTCATAAAAGAGACAGAAATGCGTGTTAGTCCGTGAAACTGAAAGTTTTCCCTCTCATTTATTAAAACGGTAATCTTTTACCAAGTTAAAAGTTTTATGCACGGCAGAAATTTATATTAATAATACCAGGTCCACAGTGGTTTCCAAGAAGACATCAAAATGGTTTAAAAATAGATTGTCTTAGAAGGAATGCCGCTATTAAAAGAATTAGTGGCTAATTATCCTGATTACTTCATCTTTGGATGGATGAACAAACTTTTCTGACATGATATTTAGAACGAATATTGAATGGCTTTACAGCTTCATTAAATTATGAAGCAATTTGGAATTATATTATATAATTGGCTCTTAGAAATGTAAATCGTATATTAGTAATAGGTTTCGTTTCAAACTGTACTATTTATTTGCTAAACGAGGTGTGGATTTGACAATTTATCTCACTGATATAAAGCTTGTTTAGCATTTAATTCTATGTGCATATCCTGCCGTTGCTGATGATGCATTCCATCCGATTGCAATGGCAGCACCATATGTGCTGCAAAAGAAAATTAATCAATAAAAATGAATTACTTACTTAAACAACTAATGCATCTACCGAACGTAATTTTATAAGTTTAATGGGAATGGAAAACTTTACGAATTATATCTGTAAAGAAAAATTATTAAATGAAATATGTGATTAAAATTTTTATGATGTCTGGATTTCTTATTTTGTGGGATTTTTTTATTACTTGTCTTTTTTAAATTTCTATTTTAGCCAAATTGAAAAACATAATAAGTTGTGCCAAAAGGTTCAGTTAAAGGGTTGATTCTATACATTTAGTTTTACCTATTCACAAGTTGTTCACGCTGAGAAAGTAGATAATTTTTTATAATTACATACAACACTTTAAGTTGATAACGTGGCGAAACTCCTTCTGTCTCTTCAAGATCTTTAAATGCCATAATTAAAGAACATCTTAGACTATCTTAGAGAGAGATATGTGGCATAACAGTTATATTATTCAAAGGAATAACACAAACGTTTTTGGGAAAACAAATAATTGGTAAGGAAGAAAACTAAAACACGGTTTTTCAATATATTTGATGTTATGTTACATCACGAGGTAATTTCTCTTCGCAAAATTTGTTATGGTGTCTGAAAATACTCGTCGTCTTCAAAATCCACTTTGAATCGTTCGAATATCTCTTTTCCTCTCTAAGAAATCATTTGTTAAAATGTATAAGTTTGATGTTTTTATCAATAATCAGATGCTTTGACTTTGAGGGCTGAAGAATAAATGTTATAGTGGTCGTAATTTGAAAAATTCTTGAATTTTTTCATTAATAATGTTGCATTAAATGGTAAAATTTATATCCATGTTCCTTTCTAGAAATATAGACAGAAATTCATCTTTATTCCATCCGCCATTTTGAATTCCGTAATTCTGATTTCGTGTTCGTAATCAGCGTTCCCGAAAACCTAAACACTAGTTTGATTTTTCTCTTTTTCTGAGTCTTCACCAGATGCTCCTTAATTTTACGAACATCATCGAATTCACTAAACTAATTAAATTGAACAGACGATTTCTCGGAAAGGCGAGAAGATATTCGAATGATGAAAAATTGATTTTGAAGGGAGAGTAGTACTTTCATATGCCGCAACGAGTATTTGGGAAAAATAATTCGTGATGTTATATAACTTCGAATGTTGTGAAAAAAACGTGCTTTTCGCAGTCTTAGTCAAAGTTTGACTCTTTAGGGTTGCCCAAAAAAGTCCAAACCCAAAGATCTCACATATCTTTTCCGACGCATTTTGATGAGCTGAAAACGATCCCCTAGTGAGAATCGCTCAATCATGGTCCAAAATTGATTTTGCTATGCTCTACATAATATCTGAAAGTCGATTTTTTAATCAATAATTTAAAAAGTTGTACCTAATAAAAAAATAATAGGAATTTATGAAATATTTTATTATTTCTAATTAGTATTGCTAATAGTAGTAAAAAAAATTGTTGGATATTTTGTGCGGTATTGACTTTTATGCTGTTAAATGATAGCTAAAAACATTTTTAAGCGATTACATTAGTAATATCATCTAATTCAGAATTAAAAGATACTTTAGAATTGTCATAAAAATTGCAGCGACATATTAAAAAAAATACATCTGATAATGGGCCCTCCAGAACGAAACGTCGGATTGTAAAAATGTTGACGCCATTGGATAGAGCGAAAAAAGTGGCATTGTAAATATGCAATTTATTTTAAAAGTCGTTTTCAAATAAAGCCAGAGAAAAAATAAAAAGATGTTTATAGCAATACTGTACAAAAATACAGTTTTGTGTCAAACAATGAGACACAGTTTTTTTTTTATTTTTTCCGTAGAATTGAATAGTGTAATGAGTTTTTGAATGTTTTTTAATTTAAACAATTACTCAAAAATTCATTGTTGCAAGTAATTTTTTATTTTTTTTTTGCATTTTGAGCATGTTTTTGAACTGTGATTACAAATTTTTTTATTTCACCAAAAAGTATGTCAAAACGAAAAAAAAGATTTTTTTTATCTAAAAAAATTTGTGGTTATTTAAGACACAGAAAGGTATACTTTCACCAAGTTTCGTCAAAATTAAATTATTTTTGCGGAAATGAGAAATAAAAAACGAAAAATCAGAAAAAAGCCTGTTTTCCACATTTTTCTCGGAAATTTTGGGGTTATCTTAAAAAGTGATTTCTACATAAGTTGTAGATTTTTGTATGATCTACAACTTTTGTATTGGATACTTTTTTGTTTGATGTCAACTTTCGCCAGAAATCCCAATGATACAATTTTCCACAACTTTTCAACCCCCCAGATCAACCCTCCGGCACACTTGCTCACGCATTTATTTATTTTTTATCCAGGTAACAGTTTTCTTTTTTTCCCATCTAAATGAGTTATTTCGATCGGTCTATACGCTTTCGAGTTTTTTTTTGTGTCAGGTGTAATTAACAAATTATAAAATTATAACTTAAATTGGAACACCCCTCGTAACAAACCATTGCTCTGTCAGACCTACAGAAGCAACGCGCTACCGTTTCATCAGTTCATTTTATAATTAATTATAGGCCTGGAAGTTCGGAGCAACGACCCCCCCGCCCCCAGCGGGCGCGCCTCTGGACACATCGAAAAAGACAATGTTCAATTTACGGCTCAACATTTACGCGGCATTACAATATTATTTCGACGTCGGAAATAGGATTGTGGCAGAAAGTCCAGCGACAATCGCGCCTACTGAGACCGGGCCTTAAAATCAATGTCTCGCGTCGGCTGTGGAAATGGTGTTCCAAATCCGGAGTTTTCCCACCCCGAGGAGGATCGGGTGAGCGCGTGAGCCACCATGGGAAAGTGGGGGGTCTGAGCCGCCCCGACTACTGCATAGCGCAATTACGTACGGTCTCAATAGTGAACTTAACGGGGATCCGGTGTAGAAGCCGGGAACAGTGTGACCCTCAAGAGGGGTCAGAATTCACAAAAAGATATATTAATTACTGATAATTGCGGGCTGTGAACTACAGGGTTGATTTGGAGGAAGAAATGGAAACTATTAATGGAGACTTCGAAAGGGATGGGCCGCCGCCTCCCAGTCCCCTCACGGGGTGCTATTTGTTAATTGTTGTGGGGGAGCCGCACAGCGAGGAGCATAGGGACATCGTCCTGCAGAGGATTGTAAAAGGTATGTATTTCAGCAATATTCGAGATCGATAATAATCATCCCTTGTTAATATAAAACTGAACTGAATTAATTTCAACAAGCAAATACAACATAGGACCATTGAAAATTAATTGTTTCTGTATATGTTTATGCGTATGCACATATATGACCTTTTATCATTTTTATTAGATGTCATTCGATGGCGAGGTCAGGATAAAATCGATTGCCTAGAACGTTTAAGTGGAAGACATCTTGGAATTACCCAAATAATTTCCAGTACCTTTAAATCTAAAAGTATAGTTGAATCTGTAACTTTATACTGTCTGTAGGATCAAAAGTATATACTGTTAAAATGTTTGCACCAAATGGGATTTTTTTCCGATTTTTCAAGAAAACTCTAAAAATTTTTTTATTTGCGCAACCTAGATATACTGGTCGATTTTTGGGATTAGAAGGAAATAACATTTCTGAAAGCTCAATGAAAGAATAAAAGTAAAAAGAAGACAATTCTTTCACCAAAACTTAGTAAAATAGATTTATTAACTAGTTTTAGACAATAAATTTCAATTAAGGTTAAAAAAATACTTATTTCCAAATTCCAGTAACATTAATTTATTTTCACTGAATATAAACTTCCGTAACGAAATGTAAAAATAACAATTCACTGAATTTACTGAAGTTACGTGGAGATTTCGTGGCTGGGAACCCCAGAACTTCGATGTACTAGTGTATTTTGAAAAATCATTATAAAATACAGGGTGTCGATAGATATCTAGGAAAGTACTGCTTCGAAAAATTTGAAAATTTGGCAACATGGCAATGCCCCTAGGACGAACACAACTAAAATATCTATAATTCTCCAGCGCTTCCGGTTATACCGGAAGTCGCCACCAACTTCGTTATTTTAAATGGGACACCCTATATATTATTGCATTTTCGTATTCTACGTGAAATTTGAGGGTCACTTTATTAAATATTCCCTATACCTAGGAGTTATAGATTTTGAGATATTAATTTTTAAAGAAAAAATTTGAGGGATGCAAGGGTCCGCGGAGATGCTAGTAACTCTTTTCAGGGGCGTGATGTCAAGTGGATTTTTGATACCTGTAAAGGGCGTAGGTAACACTACATTGTGGTATACCAGCAAATTAAACCATTTAATACTAGGTGTTTCATTTTTGCTGTTACATTTTGATAACTTCAAACATCTATAACTTTGTTAACTTAAATGGAACACCCTGTATTCTTTTACTCTGTCGTATGCAGATTGAAATTTCCTTTCAAACCATGTAATCATTATTACTACTTTTAGAGATATTTGCAATTTTCTATTTTTGGTCAGTTTTTCTCGTATCAGACCTGTTGTCAAATTGGCTATGACCAGAAACTCTCCAAAAACAACTGAAATAACATGACATTTGTCAAGTTAGTTGTCAAATCATTGTTGCGTTTGAATAGTTTTTGCCGAAAATTGAAATAAAAATGCCTGGGGATCGTTTAAATTATACAAATGAGGATTATTTTAATTTGTTTGTTATTTAAGGAAAATGTGACAAAGTAATTTCAATAACATGTAGAGAATCTGCCGCTTTTTATAAATATAAAAAATATCAACCGGTGTTTATTTTGCTAGTATTCAAATTTTTAAAAAGTTATACAGGGTGTTTCCCAATGAGGTAATTTAAAACATTTAAGGGAGTGATTCTTCAAATCGTTTTGAGAAAAAAATTATTTATATACGTATGCCATAAAACGTCAAGTGTTTGAGTATAAACAAAGGTATCGCTGTGGAAAGTGAGGTTTATATTACATTAAAAAAAATGTACGTCACCTGTTTTTCTGATTCTTTATGTATTTTTTCTAATACCCTTTCCCTATTGAATAAAATATGTATGCTCCCATTTGAGTCTTAGTTTGAGGTGAAAACAAGATTTGATTTATTCGTTCTTTTTGTCAACTTTAGAGTTTTTGAATATACATAAAAAATACAACCATCAAAATCCAAAAATTTACTAAGAGCCTTGTACTTGAAAAAAAATTCATAAATTAAAAAAACATCAAAGAAATTTGTTCATATTATGACGAAATCGAAATCCGAATATTTTTTTTATTATGAAATTTTGCCCTTATATAATTATTTCCCTTGTGGCGGTCTCCGATAAAGCTATAATGTTACTATTTCCAATTTGAAATGCCTGTGTGCATTGGGCCAATTAAAAAAAAAATCCGTCAGCATTCTCGATGTATGTATTTGGAAATACTAAAATCGTCCGAGACGGGTCGATTTTTGTTGGAAGGACACATTGTAGCGTAAGCAGGATAGTTGTCGAATCACTCCCTCAGCCATCAGCGCCATCTACATGAAAATCTCAAGTGGCACTTCCCCAATTAAAGAGAACTTTATTCTTCAAATAGGGGTGTAAAAATGTTTGAACTTGGTGAAATTATAAAGGAAAATGTATCACAAATTCCGAATTTATTTTTTGATGCCGATTTGAATGTTATTTTCGGGGAAATATAAATATTTTATACAAGCTGTAACTAAAGTACTAAGTGAAATTTTAATGATGAATTGTACATTGTAAATTAACAAAAAAAAGTTCCTATAGACATACCTCCGGAAAGGCTTTGATTTTCGATATACTGGGTGTTCAAAATTAATTAAAAGTTCCAAAAATATGCAGTAGCATTTTGTCATTTATTTCGAGAACCTTGTCGTGATAGTGAGACAAATTTCAAAGTGCTCGAAAAAAATTAAAGCAGCAGCATTTGAACCAGTCGCAAGGAACCATTATTTTCTAATAAAAAATGGATTATTTTTTAATTTGATATGCAAGGTGTGCAGGAAATAAGAAAATGTGAAATAGCTGAAGTGGTTTTATTCAAAACAACTAAAAAAAATTTCAAACGTTATCAGACCAAAATATAGTTTTAATTTTTTTTAATTATTTCTAATATTGTAATTTTGTATCTCATTAAGTGAAACGTTGGAAATACTATTATTTTCTAAACTAAAACCTTTAAAACTTGTGTTTTAAATAGACTTGCGATAAAAAAAAAACCCAACAGTTAAATCAGGACTCCAACATAGTTAAAGCAAGAATTACTTTCATATCTCTTTAATTATTACTAACTAGAATAGAAGAAGCTGGCCCTTTGGTAAGGGCAAACAGTTTGTTGTATCACCTAACGGAATTTCCCTGAAATACTTATTTTCAGCATGATTTTGCCCTTGCCATTAAATTCTTTCATCCTACATCAGTTACAACATTAAGGATTTTTATTTTTGGGGGTATTTAAAGAAAAATAACTTACGAAGGCGCTGATTTCGGAAATAATTAATTTGAATTATTGAAAAACACAGTTAAAAACGTTATTGCTAAATAATGGAACTGTGTTTAGGTATTCGGTCCTCAAATAATCTACATTTTCTTATTAGAGACTGTTTAGAAATCTGAATTTGTCTATGATTCCCTCCTCCGCCCAAAAAAAAAAAAAATAAAATAACGGACAGTAATCAGTGGATACGTTGTACATAAATATACCGGTATACCTAAAGCCTTTACGCACCAACGTATATGTATTGGTTGTGTCTTGAACCAAGAATAAAATACCAACTGGGAGACATAAGCCAGATTCAGCAGTAGAAGTCCATGTCATATGTGTTTCCTCCCCTCGAATGAGATTCTAAGATTATTTTTAGTTTAAAGAAGGCAGGCCGAGATATATCTGCTGCATTACCGAGTCATTAGACTGAAGAGGAGACTGGCCATAGATTCCATTCTTTATACAGTTCCTATCTCGGTAAAGGAACAAAATAGAAAAAAATTTATACATATATAATTTACATGCCGCTCAGTTTAACTTGATGATGGAAAATAGAAAGTTGTAGATCGTCATCATGTTGAGGACTGTTAAGTTTTTGAGAATGAATGAATTTGACGATCTTTCGATTTAATTAAGGTATATTCTTGGATAATTTTTGAAGTTTTTGAGATTTTGTCAATTTAATATTTAATAACTGTTTCCTTGGTTTGGGAATCTATTCACTTACGCCGAAACTTCATTTGTGTATATTTTTTATTCGTACTTTACTCTGTGTGTAAAGTGACTTTGTTTTTATTGGATATAATACTATATTAAATCATTTTAATAAGTTATGTTTGTGTTTTATTTACCTCTTAAGAAAAAATTATTTTGATTATTTTTCCCGAACCGAAAAAAATTAAAGTTGCAGTTATTGTTCGTAACTGCAATCTACACTTAAAAATATCATCGATCTTAATGCCATACAGGGTGAAGTTAATTTTACTAAATTAAAACTTAGTGATTGCCCATATCTTCACCTATGTTGATATTACAATATTTTACTGCTACTTAATTTGATCGCCAAAAAACAAAAAATTTGAATCAACTATGCATGATGCGACGTACTACTAGAACCTGGAGTTGAAATGTCATTGTAAAGAATCCTGTTGGCTATTTAACTTTTGTTACTTACACTGTCAGCAACATGACTTTCTGCAATTATTGTGGCTGGATTTTCACCCTCCATGTCTCTTGATTGCTAATACATCAACTCCTGTATTAGCCAGTAATGTTGCCGATGTTCTTCGGAATGAATGGCCTGTATATGTTTCAGGATGTTCTAGTTTCAAAAACTGTGTAATCTTATTAGGAATCATGGAAAGGGTATTCTTGCCGACTGATTGATTGTAACACCTACCTGCTTGATCGCACACAAAAAAGCGTGAAATTTCAGTTTTAATTTCCAGTCTAATTTTGATATATTTCTTTCGAATTTCTAGGTAAGAAACAGAACCCAGACGAGAAGTAATTGTAAACGTACGTGACATACCATTTTTAGAATCTGGAATTTTAACTACAATAATGTCACCGAAATTTTTGAAATTGACGTCATCCAAAGTAAGTTTGCACAACTCATCAGAACGGAATGCTCCTGCAATGCCTAAGACCGTCACTACCTTCATTAGCAAATATGTGTTATCGGGTGCCTGATCGAGAAAATCGTTGACTTGTCTCTTGTAAAAACGTTCGACTTTTTAGGTGTATAGCCGTTATTCTTACATTTCAAGAATGCTCTCAGCTTGAGGTGTTTTGATATATCCACGTTCTCTTCTATGAAAATAATCGACTTAATCATTGAGTATTCACGCCACAAACTCACCGGTGACTAAAGTTTTTGACTTCTCCATGAAATATGCTAGCAGTGATATTTGAGAAACACTAGTATTTTTGTTCTGGCATCATTCTTTCGACTTCTCGGGCAATAAAAATTCGCAGGCACTGCACAGCACTTTCTATTTGAAAATCACTCATTTAGAAATAATAATTCAAAACCAGCAAAATTGCAATTTTTATGCAGCTTTGTTTATAAACACCTTAGAAACGACAAAATCCAAACAACCAAGGCGGCTTTGCAAGATTTCGAATAATGTCACAATTAATTGATTAAGAAATGTCAAAAAATAAAACCTAATCTTTATTTCATGAACCATAAAAAACTGTGGAACCAGATAAAATGTTATACACCACGCAGCAGTTAAGTATAATTTACCAGTCTCGGATTCTATTGTCAGCCCTCGCTCTGCTCAGGCGCAAAATCGTCCCCGCCTGGTAAATAATACTTACCTCCTTTATGGTGTAAAAAAACTATTATACTTTTATTATAGATGCAAGAAAATTTAACATATATAGGATATATGCGTTTATAAAAAATGAAAATTAAAATATTTCCCAAAAATATCTATTTATATCAAGAAGTTATATTTTTCATTTTCTGAGGACTAAGCTTGCATTCTGTTGCATCCACAGTAGACGAACTACGTTGAATCTCTTTTTTCTTCGCAGTACAAAGTTGACAGAAAGCGAGAAATGTCTTTCTCTTCGGGATTTTTTCGAGCAAATAAATAAATAAGTTGTGTTTTCACAAATTTGTTAATGTTAACAAAAAATACATAAAGGTGCATTCAATTACGATTAGACTACCACAATATGAATTTGTAATTTATTATAATTTCTACCTAAACACTGTCAAGTTTTGTTTACATAATTTACGCAGGTGCAAGAAGCCGATGCTCCTTATGTGTGCAGATTGTTTCTAGTCCATTTAACCGACACAGGGCTCAGCATATAACATTTTCAAATACTTGAATGTAATAAATTTCACTACAATAGATTGTTCAATGAAAAAAGTACCGTCAAAATTTTGTTTATAAATACCATATTTGACGCCCAGGCATCTAGAAAACAAAAGACAACAAACCCATATTAAGGATATTTTTTCATGTTCTACAAGCCCATGAATGTACATTTTGTTTTAATACATCCTGTATATTTTCTAAAAAATGCATTTTAAATTAGTTAATTTATAAAAAGGTTCTAAATCAAAGCTCGTCAGTAATAATAATAATAATAATAATAATTGTCTTGTTCTTATTAATCAACACATACTTAGCTGATAAGAAGCATAATTAAATTTGTTGGGGTATGTTAGTGGTTTCCCTAAAATTGGCCAACGAACACAAGAGATTGTTCAACTCGACTTACTATTAATAATTCAAGAAAACTCTCATTCAGGCCTTAGGCAAATTGCCAGAACTGTAAATATTGGAAAATCTGCAGTTCCTAGTGTGACACGCCAACAAAGTTGCAACCATTCAAGGTTCCCCTGGTGCACGCATTCGTAAAGATGATATCGATCGTCCATTTTTTTCAGACGAGTCAGCTTTTTGCATGATTGAGACAATAATAAATAGACACTGGATATTGGACAGAAAAAGTTTACACTTGATGATGGAAGCACAACCATAACTAACCAAAAAAAAATATCCTTCATTTTTTTTAATTAACACTAATACCTCTAGCGGCGAAATTAATTCCAAACGAGCTGATTTTAGCACTCGCATTTGATTCTCGAATGAAGGTTACAGATTTATAGATCTTCTTCCAGAAGATAGTACCCCTCGTTTTACCAACTGATATATTAGGGGGAGAGTGTTTATAGAGTGGCCTCCTAATTTACCAGATCTCACATCCACTTGATTATAGTAGCTTTTAACTTTTGCTAATACACTAAAATAAGGTGCCAATCAAAAAATACAAACCTCTGTATTGGAGACTGAGCTTTAGCAGCAATGTTTTTTTTATTTTAACTGGTATGTGTTAAAAAATTTGGCAGAATTCTATGCTGCTATTTTAATTTTTGGAGTAAGTATATATCTGTAACGTGTACGAAAATCCATATTGTCCAAAATTGTACAGGTTATCAGAAATGAAAAAAAATTCTATAATTTTCACAAATATTTGGAATTCTTTAAATGTATGCTGCTCTGAGATTTTTTTACAATTATAATTACAATTATGAGGATGAAATTGCGAAACTTTCCATAATTTTTCACTAAAATGGGCTTCCTTTGGTAATGACAATTACAACGATGAAGCGAAAATTATGGAATCTCCGCTTTTTTCCAAATATAATTTCTTTATCTCAACGTTTCCTCGTGCACTATACAGGTTAATATATTTCAGCCTGAGAAAATCCAATTTGCAAAAATTAATCTAATATCCTACTTCTGATACAAATCGTCACACCTTTTGTGTGGCAAAATCCTGAGTTTAATGATTAAAATACTCTGTATCTCTCTAATTACACAGGGTATTATAAAAAAGTAAGTCAAATCCCAGATTCTTTGTGTGACAATAATGGAACTTTAATTATGCCATTTTCAAATTAAGCACTTTTTTAAAGACATGTAGTATCGAACAGTTTCAAGGATTGTACAAAAGTTGTTGTAAAGAAAGTCGCGATATATAGGCCAGGAAATATAGAGTTGGACGCGACTTTTTGTTTCAGCAAGCTGAATTTATCACTATAGATGCTAAATATTATGTACAATGACATATTTGTTTCCACAGTCATAAAAATGGGGTGAAGATTGTTTACAGGGTGGTTAATTGTATAATTTTTACCAATGACCATGAAAATTTTACCATGAAAAGAATCAGTGCAATTGTGGAAAATGCTCGAGATCGTCCAGACTAATAATTATTTAATTTGTTTATAATGCCATAACTTGTAAACTATTCAACTTACCGATTCCAGATTTCGTGTGAGTTATTAGACTGTCTTAAAGGAATGAGAGGATGCGATGCCAAAACGTTGTGGTAATAATAACGCTCGAGGGCTAGTTTTGTAGGTCTTTTGAAGACGAAAAAAAGTACTTAACTGTTTTCTCGTGGAAATGAACGGAAAAAAGTTATACGCGAAAAACGTGAATTTACGTAAAAATTATACAATTAACCACCCTGTAAACAATCTTCCCCACATTTTTATGATTGTGGAAACTAATATGTTATTGTACATAAATTTAGCATCTATAGTGATAAATTGCCAAAACAAAAAGTCGCGAAATGACCATTTCCCAGCTCTTTTTCCTGGCCTAAATAACGAACTAGTTAAACTTGCTGTTCATGATTATCTCTGATGAAATGCATACACTGGCTTGATACGTTAATACGAAATTCTTGCAGGGCTTCTTTCCTGGAACGTAAACCAATGCCTTGTGGATTTAGAAAAGGAACTTGAATTGATATCAGAGCAAGCTCTGGAGGGTGAAGAGGCAAGACATGGTAAGTATTGATCTAATAAAAGTACGTTCTGTAAAATTTGAATGCTTTATATAGGGTAGGGAGATATATTTCTGATTCTGATTTTTTGTTTTCCTCAAAAACTTAACAACAGTGCCAAAAAAATGATATAATTATATACATTTAAAATATCTCCAAAGCCATTCATTGTCTGCTGCGTCGAATCACCTGTGCTATTTCAAGCCGACGACGTGATCTAACTGACGATTATGGTAAAACCATTCCCGTTACAAAAATATGAATGGGAATTTCTTGTCTGAAATGCAATGTTAAATGCGGTGTAAGCATTAAAAGACCAAAAAACATTGAAGTAGAAGTTATAATTTTTTTTTTCTTGTTTCTTAGTTAAGACATTTACAAATTTCTACAGCAACAATTTGTTTCGGACTCGGTTGGTTACGCTCTATATATACTTATATTTCGAACATGCATTTTTTTAAATGAACAGTTTTGGTTGTTTCAAATGTTTCAAATAAAGTGGAAGACGCCTTTTTTCCTAGAAATAATGTTAAAAATGAAATGCACTTATCTAATTTTAAAACAAATAGTGGCGTAGAAACTTTTTGCTTTTAGTGTACCTCCCAATGTCTCCGTCACTGTTTTGCTGCGTGATATTATGATGTCTATCATAGCAGTGTTATCCGATGTCATTAACAAAGCATGTTTTGAATTTATTGAACGGTCTTTTCTTACCTCATGAATAATGTCATTCTCATTCTCTGAATGTTTAAGAATATCGAAAATAATACTTGTTTACAAAAAAGGAGGTAGGTACTTCCTCCATGACTAATTACAGGCCGTTGCTTTACGGAACCAATTTGAGAAATAGTTTGAAAAATGTTTTACGCTCTATGTGAATTATTTGACAAATATTATTATATTTGTCATCGGTATAAAGTTAAAATTAGGGATGTTTTGAATTTATTAAAGATATATTTTCAGGACAGTCATAAAATATAAATTTTTGGTAAATAATTACGTTGTACCTCAGGGTGGCTCGTTGAGCCCGGTTTTGTTTAATAAAATGATTAATGATATGTAACCTGTGTTATTTATAGATGACTAATTTTGGATACAAGTAGGGTTATGGTACAATTAATCATATTGAAGTCCTTTTGTTGAATATTATTGAAGGGGCAAACGGAAATAAAATCTATATGAACTGTGAAAAATCAGATTTGATGCCCTTCTTGAATTTAGCTGCTCCCCCCCCTAGAAATTTGAAGAAAAGTAGAAAAATTCTCTTAAAAAATATTGGAAATTTTTATTTAGTTACTTTAATTTTGAAAATTAAAACATTATACAGGGTGGGCCATTAGTATGAGAAAGTAAAATAACTCCCTTGTTATTCATAATACATAAAAAAAGTTTATATAAAAGTTGTACAGAATCAAAAAACCTAAAGGACAAAATTAATTTGAAACACACAGGGCGATGAGTAAAAACGGGACACGCCAAATATTACATGTTTTAAATGGAACACCCTGTATATTTTTAAACATATGGATTTCTGAGAAAATTCTATATATGGCAAGATAAATAGTTTAACATTTTAGTCCGGGGTTGCCAAGTTATGTAGAAAATTCTTCAAATTTTGGAAAAAACATGACCTCCAAGAAGTTGATTAACTTTCAACTACTAACACTTGGAGCAAAAATATTCGATAGACTCCTATATTAGCTAATATAGAGATATACAGGGCATTTTTTATAATACGATCATTTTAAGAAAGTTCAAACTTGATTTTCTAAAAATTTTTCAAATGGAACACCCTGTATTTTAATGTTCTATTTTATTCACATATCAGTCCACTTCAACTTTTATTAAGTATGTTCTACACCTAAAGTTGTTAGTTTTTAAGATATAGCAACATTTCTGGAAAAACCTAATTTTTATTATTTTCGGTCGCACGAAATGGCTTTGGAAAAAACTGTCACATTGTGTGAACTCGTCAGTTCATAATTTATCATTCCATTTTGAGTTAATTTTATTAGTTAATATTTATTTGTGGTATTCTATAAACTAATAAAAATTAAGTTTTTTCAGAAATGTTGCTATACTTTAAAAACTAGCAATTTTAGATATAGAACATGCTTAATAAAAGTTGAAGTGGACCGATATGTGAATAAAATACAACAATAAAATACAGGGTGTTCCATTTGAAAAATTTTAGAAAATCAAGTTTAAACTTTCTAAAAATGATCGTATTATAAGAAATGCCCTGTATAAAATATCGATATTAGCTAATATAGGAGTCTTTGCTTAACATTTGCCTATAACTCTGTCAAATATTTTTGATCCGACTGTTAGCAGATTGATACCGACTAGGAAGGAGGAGGAAGATCCTGTTTGGGGTAGAATCGATTAGTTATTGCATATAAATAATAAAAAATATTTTATTATTTTTTTTTGGTAAAAAATAAAGGGGACTGAAAACCGGCCTAATTGACCCTCCCCCTTTTAAAGGAAACACCCCCTCTTAAAATTTGACAAAGATTTGATCGACTGTTTTAAATAATTTTCGAAACAAAAATGTTGAAACTCCAAAAAGGTGAATTTAATATGCAAAGTATATATGTAATATGCATTTCGTGCGTATCATTCGCCCTTTAATGTTGCTGTTTTATGTTATTTTAGGAGTGGCTGAAAAGGGAAGAGTAAAAACGGATTAACAATTGAAATATTTGTCTGGAGCCTTTGCATTTTAATTTATTAATACATTTTACGTTTTTTTATAGGCGAGCGACTGATTCAGTTCGCCTCCGAGAATCTAGTTACGGAAATATTAATCCATCCTGTTATAAGTACGCTAGTACAATGTATGAGGAATTTACTAAGCAGCTTCACTCGACATCGTCACATTATCCACGCCGGATATACATTTGCTGCTAATGGATCTTGGGCCCTACAGGTATAACTTTCATGTGTGTCGTTTTTTATTGTGCAACGCGTTTTAAACTAGATACGTCGGTATCTAGCTGCTGACATATCTTATCAGGTGTAAAGTCAACATGCATATTCCAATAGTGCATACAATGATCAAGCACGCGCTGTTTTGAAACTATTGATCAAACGTATTGAATGGCAATCCCCGAACAAAGAAAGCTTTCAAACAGAACGGAACTTCACATAGTTTAATAGTTTGCATTTCTTGCTTATCATTCGCGATTAATGTTGCTGTTTTATGTTACTTTGGAAGTGGCTGAACGAGAGAAAAAAGTAAAAACATACTGTATTATAGAATGCGTTGATGTACTGTTAAAAATAATTTTCAATAAAACAGTCTGTTTAATTTTTATATTTTCAAAATTTCTTTGTTTCTTTGTAAACAAATTTACCATCATACTGTTGCTCAATGTGGAACAAACTATATAAACATTTCGTTGCAGGACGGCACATTTTCCTATGCGGATTTTGCAGAGGCATTTCTAGAAATAGAAACGCAGCGAGTGATACATGCCTACGAAAATGGAATATCTCTGGATCTCCATTGCTCCCCAGAAGGCGACTGGTGTAAATTGCCCAAAGAATCGTTTACCAAAGGCTGTAATGTGCGTGTCAATCCCACAGACGTGCTTACTTGTGGATCTCCGTCTATCACAGGATTTATCAATTATGTTTCTCAATTTCTAATTCCAATGTCTTTAGAAAACCTTTTACAGTGTTCAGACGTGGTAGGAAATATAAGATTCTCCCGACCGACGCTCTATGTTTTTCCTGGAGGGCAAGGTAAGAATGTAAATATCTAACTGGATACAACATTGCAAATCAGAAACTGATATTCTTTGGGATGATGGGATGGGATTTGCCAAGAAACAGTTTCTATAACCACTCTTTTAACAATGTTATTAAACAATTTCTATTATTTGACAACTCTCCCTCAATACGAGGGATTAATAAATAAAGTAAAATATGTAATATTTTTTATTTAATTGGGTAATCTGTGTGACAAATTTTATAAAAAATATGTTATACAAACCCCGAGGAAAAGAGTATATTAAAGTAGTAGTTTTCACTAGGATTTATAGTTCTTCTCCACTTGGGTGGATTACTTTGAAAAAATCCCAATCAAATTCAAATTTATGTGGAGCTATTAAGCTTCTTATTGACAAAAAAACTAATTTCTTCATGGTTGAACAATTCTTGACGTTTCGAGAAACATAGCGCTCTCTTTCTCAAAAGAAACTGAAAATTAAGTCATCACACCAGTACTTATCTTTAATGTGTTGATCCGTGTCAATCCGATGTCTGATTTAGCCCGCGACTGTCAGTTCCTGGGGATTTTTACGTATAAGTCAATTCCAAATTTTAGGTAATTCTACGCCATCAAATCAGTTGGAATTGATTGCGATCTGGGTTCCTATTGACTTCCTGTACAGTCTGTCTCTTACTAGAATTTTAATATTACGTATTTAAGTTTATTTTATCTTCCTAGGGTTGTTATGGATGATATTAATATTGTGCTTCCTTAAAATGTGGCCCATTTTATCTGAATATTCTTCTATATAGGGAAAATAAGTAAAGTGGTTCTGATATCTTGTTACTGGATGGAATGAGGGATCTAATTGGAGGGTAACTCAGCAGTACAGATACAGCACATAAGTCCCATTGGGCCTCTTGTGCTTCTTCCCTGCGAGAGATCAGCTCCCCTGAGCCTATTAAAGGAAAAAGGTGATGACGTTGCTCAGGGGGATCTCTCTAATGTAGCCAATGAAGCCCATCGTTCTCCTAACATGGATTCTCTTGTTGATCTGACACCAGTGCACTCACAGAGTACATGGAAACTATATGTCTTCCTGTTCACAAACTCTACAAAGAGATGCTTCGCACTTCCTCATATTGTGGAGATGTTTCCTTAATCAACAGTGTCCGGTTTTAATGCCCCTTGCCAAGTGAAGGCTTACCCTGGATATAGCCAGGTACTATTTGGCTGTGTCTTTGCAAGGGTGTCTCAAGAACTCCTTAGCAAATCGACAGTTGTTTGTTTCATCCCACCGTCTTCTAAACTCTCTTTGGGTGTCTTCCTCAATCAAAGCGCCCACTGGAGGGATTAGGTCTAAAGATATTAAGACCTGATGCTCTCGTAGCTTACTTATCAGCTTCATTATTGCCATTATGCTGGCTGTTTCGTTTAATTCAGCATACAAATATGCTGTTTGTAGCTAACTAACGCTTGATGGCATTCCCATACTGACCCGGACATTATCTTCCGATTACGCAAGGTCAGTAATGATTATCTATTGTCTGTGTAGATTCTAATAGTTTTCCCTGTTATCTGCCTACATCTGGTTTAAAATCAACGTTCTTGAAGCGAAGCATAATTGCCTTTAGATAAATATCTGAGAGAGGCAGATCTCCATAGCTAACGTTGGTGTTGGTAGTGGGATCCAACATTTAAATACCTATACGTGTGGCTTAGCTTTTTGTGAACGCTACGTCCTAGGATACTATTCGGTTTTCTCTTGAGAAGAGAAAATCTGAGATCTTCCAACTCTCCGGTGAGCTGAGAAGATTTATTTTCCAGTTTCGGAATTTCTTCTGAAGAAGAGAGCGATATATGTTTTTAAACATCAAGGAATCTAAACCGATGACGTGGCAAGTAACCCAGAAACTGATCAACCATTGACGACTGCTATGTAACTTATATAACTTTGATGGTTCCAACTTTTCTCTTGTCATTTAAAAATACATCTGGTAGTAGTTATCAGTCATGTTTATGCGATATTAACATAACTAACATCTTTTTGTAGGAGATGCCGCCCTTTTTGGAGTCAATGGATTCAATATGCTCTTAGATGGTGGATTCTCTAGAAAAGCCTGTTTCTGGGACTTCGTAAGACATTTAGATAGATTAGATGCTGTACTAATGACAAGACTGAATAATAGCAACATAGGAGGGATTAGCTCCATTTTAAGGAGAAAAAGAAAAGATGCCGTGTACCCTCATCTAGGACATTTCTTCTGTAATATCCAGGTAAATTATTCAAGATGTCTCGAAATTAGCATACAATATTTTACCAGCGTATTCTACGATTACAATAATAATAAAATGTTAGTTAAAATGTGAGAGTTAAAGAAACTGTTTTCAACTAGGTACCACATACCTACATACATACATACCTATATCTCGTTTCTCTTTTTTAGGACAGAAAGACTATATTAAGCCCCGATGGAGATAAAGATAGGGATCCCTTGCTAATCGATCTCCTAAACGAGGGTCAGGAGATTATATCGAACCTGCACCACTTGAACCTGAACCCTCAGACCTGTTATAGAGACCCAGAACCAATTAATTTATATCACAAAGTGGGCCACGGCACTTTGAACATGTATGTCCTTAATCCTGCCAAAGATTCAAAAGAAGTTAAAGAATTTATCCAAAGATGGAACCAATGTGATCAAAAACTGTTCAGTAAACAGCAAACAACAAAATTTAGTTTTCCCGTACAAAATCTAATTTCTATAGCTGTTCTTTTAATTTGGCAACCGGCCAACATCAGCGATACAATAACAAGAATTTTGTATCCTGGAAGTAGTCCCCAGCAAAAAATTTTTGAAGGTCTCGAAAGATTGAAAAACATAGAATTTGTTAAGCAGCCTGTGTGTTCAGAAAAATCGTTATTTTCTAAGTTTGTAGCAAAAAAATCTGCTAAGCACGATACCACGGAAAAAGTCATCTTAAAAGACAAACCTGCAGAGAGAAAAGAAAAATTGGTTGTCGATAACAACATCAATGCGTTCGGTGGTGAAATCAAGGAAAGAAATGTAAAAAAGTCTGACTCTTTAGAAAGCGAACGTGCAAGAAACAAGAAGATAGAGGAAAACAAGATTATTACTGAGAATAATGAAAAACTTAAAATGAAGACTAAAAAATTTAAAATAAAGAATGACTTGCAACAACGAAAAAAGTCCGTTGAAAAAACTGATTCACCTACCACTCCCAAAAAATCGATAGATCAGGAAGGACCAAAGAAAACTATTACAAGTACACCAGCTAAGAGTACCAAAGATGCCAACAACAGGAAAGTAATTGAGAACAAAGCAAAATCACTAAAATCAGCTGCTGAACCTAGAGCAAAGTTAGAAAAGAAAACTATAGCTAAGAAGCCGAAAACCTTACCGAAAACTCCTATAAGTCCCGCCAAACGAATGACGAATGGTTTACAGAAAGTTGACAGAATTTCAGACAGACAGAAAGCGAAATTAGAAAAAGACGGTACAACAGATTCCAGCACTGTTAGTACACCAACTGCGGATCAAGACAGCTTAAAAAAAGATATTTCAAATTTAAGTTCAGAACAGATCCAGCAATTGAAAGCCCAGGAACTCGCGGATTTACAAGAAGAACAGGAAGCTATAAAAGAGATTGAGGCAGTGTTCAGAAAAGGTGAGGCGCACATAAATGGAAACGAAAATATGAGGAAGGTCAAAAGTATTTCCATAGATGAAGACAAAAGCGAAAAGGAAGAGTACCTTATAATAGAAAGGGAAGAGACCGATTTCTTGGATGAAAAGGAGAAAAAAGAAATTGAGTTCCAAAAACTAACCAAAGATAACGAGGAATCAGAAAAGCAAAAAGGCTTAATAATCGAGGACAATGAACAAAATCAGCAAAGTATAAAAGAGGCAAAAACTGTTGTTAAAACCAAGGAAAGTGTAGATGCAGTCACTAAAGACGCTGTAATAACTAGTCAAGAGGAGAAAGTGGAAATTCTTTCAAGTGAAAAGAAGTCTGACAAGGAAGCTGAAGTTAAGGATATTGCGGAGTCTCATCCAGATGAAAAAATGTCTGCCAATATTAAATCTGGAGACACGACTACTGCTCCTACTTTGCCTGAAGACGAAAGAATACCACTAGATGAGATAAAGGAAGACAACGGTTATCCTATCGAAGAAAAATATGTTAGAGAGGAAACGAAGGAAAAAGGCCTTCCAATTATACAATTACCCGCGAAAACTTTTGATAGTGTTCCTAAGACACCAGGAGTAGTAGGAATACGGCTTGACAAACAAAGCCACATAAGAGACATCGTTAAAACACCAGATGAAGTTGCCGATTTACCTGTGCATGAAGAAGTTGATTACGAATACGCTCATGAAAGTAAGACTGAAATAAAAATCAATGATGCTATAGTAGAGAACGTAAAAAGTAATGAGGATGAAATGCGCGAATCCAAAGGCGAGGAAAAGGAAACAGTAGAATGCCCAGCAAAAGAAATATATGAAAAAGCAGATAAGGAAGTTATGGAGACAAAACCGAAAGAACTTTTAGAGGAAAAGGATCAAGAAATTGATGTAAAGACGACTGATTTAGACGTTGATAAGTCCCAAAAACAAAGTGTTACGAAAGACAAAGAAATACAGAGTAAGGAAGGAGAATCACAACTTACCCACGATATTGTGAAGACTGAAGCTGCTGCAAAGGATATAAAGCAAGTATTAGGGACAGAACAAGAAATAATCACCAAAACAGAAGAAACTAGTGAAGACATAAAGAAATTAGACCAACCTCATGAAGAAATACAATTAAAAGAAGACTCTAAAAAGGAAGACATTTTAAAATTTGAAGAAGAAAAGAAAGATAGTGACAAAAATATTATTGACAGTTCATCAGTTAAATCCGAACATGTAGAATTGACTAAAGGTGATATAGAACAGGATAAAGTAATAGAACATGAAATTAAAGAGAAATCTGAACCTGAACAAATTAAAAAGAAAGACACTGGAACAGAAGAGGTTTGCAAGTCCTTAGAAGAGGAAAAAGCTAGTGATAAAAGTAGTACTGATCATCACTCATCATCATATAAGCTTGGAACAACTGAATTAACTAAAGAACAAACCAAACAGCACGAAGAAGTAGAAGAGAAACAGCAGAAAGAAAAATCACATGAAATGAAAGATAAGTCTTCTGTATCTTTACAAATTGAAAAAGAAGGGTCTACACTAAAAGAGATTTCCAAAGTCGACGAAGAAAAAAAAGATAGTGAGAAAAGTACTACTTCTTCGGGTATATCCGGAGAAACAGAACATAAAGAACAGCACGAGAAAGTAGAAGAGAAACCGCAAGAAGTTAAAGAGGAATCTGTCAAGCCTGAACAGATTAAAAAGGAAGACTTTGAAAAAGAACAGTCCAAAGAAATAGAAGATAAACAACATGAAATGAAAGAGGAACCTCATGCATCTGAAAACGTAGAAAAGGAAGACTCTAAAGCAAAGGAAATTTCCAAGTCCGAGGAAGAAGAAAAAGTTAGTGATAAAAGAATTACTGAAGCTTCATCATTTAAATCTGGGGATATTGAATTAAGTAAAGAACAAACAAAACATCACACAGAAATAGAAGAAAAACAACGTGAAATGAAAGAGGAACCTCTTATATTTAAAAAAATGGAAAAGAAAGTCTCTAAATTAAAGGAGACTTCCTCGTCTGAGGAAGAAGAAAAGACTAGTGATAAAAGTATTACCGAAACCTCGTCAGTTAAATCTGGAGATACAGAATTAAGTAAAGAACTCCTAGGACATGACGGAAAAATAGAAGAGAAACATGAAATAAAGGAGGAACCTCTTATATTTGAAAAAATGGGAAAGAAATATTTTAGAACAGAGGAAATCTCCAAGTCCGAAGAAGTAGAAGAGAATAGTGACAAAAGCATGGTAAAAGAACATACAAAGCAGCACGAAGTAGAACATAAACAGTACGAAGAAAAACCACACGAGATAAAAGAGATGTCTTCTAAAGCTCAACAAATAGAAAAGGAAGAGTCTACGATAAAAAAGATTTCGAAGTTCGAAGAAGAAAAAAAAGATAGCGTCAAAAGTACCACTGAAATTTCGTCAGGTATATCCGGAGAAACCGAATTTACTAAAGAAGATAAAGAACAGTACGAGGATATTGAACAAAAACCACAAGAACTTAATGAGAAATCTTTTGTATCTGAACAAATTGACCAGAAAGATTCTAACAAAGAAGAGGTTTCCAAGGACGAAAAAACAGAAGAGGGTAGTGATAAAAGTATTATTCAAACTAAATCAAATCTAACTGAATTGAGTAAAGAACATACAAAACAGCATCAACAAATAGATGAGAAATTAGATGAAACAAAAGATAAGCTTCCTATATCTGAACAAATGAAAAAGGAAGACATAAAACCAGAAGAAGTTGTCAAGTTTGAGCAACAAATAAAAGATATTGATAAAAGTATAATTGAAACCCAGTCATTTATATCCGCAGAAACTGAATTAATTAAACAACATGATCTAGAAGGAACAGAAGGGGAAATGAAACCGCATGAAATAGAGGAAAACATTTCTATAACTCAACAAATTAAAAAGCAAGCTGAACAAAGTGATGTCACTAAAGATGAAATGAAAGAGATTCCCTCTATACTAGAGAAAGGTATAATGGAAGATTCTAAAATAGAAGAAATTCATAAATTTGGTGAAGAAAAAGAAAGCAGTGATAAAAGTACTACTGAAATTTCTTCATTCAATTCTGGGGAAACTGAATTAGCTGAAAAACATACACAGCAGTACGAGAAAGATAAACTTTCTGAACAGATTAAAGAGAAAGAATCTGAAACAGAGGAGGTTTGCAAATCTGAGGCAGTAAAAAAAGGTGGAGAAATAGAAGAGAAACCGCAACAAATTCAAAAGGAAGACTCTAAAATAGAACAGATTTCCAAGTTTGAAGAAGAAAAAAAAGATAGTGGTAAAAGTTTCGCTGAAACTTCATCTGATATATCAGAAAAAACTGAAGTGAAAGAGAAGTCTCCTTTGTCTCAACAAATTGAAAATGAAGACTCTAAAATAGAAAAGACGTCAAAGTTTGACGTAGAAAAATATAGTGATAAAATTATTTCAGAACATACAGAAGAGCACGAGGCGATAGAAGAAAAAGCACATGGGGTGAAAGAAGTGTCTCTTATATCTGAAAAAAGAGAAAGAAAAGATTCTAAAACACCAGAGATTTCCGAATCTGAAAAAGAAAAGCCTACTGCAATTTCGTCTTCTAAACCACATGGAGTGAAAGAAGAATCTCTTATATCTGAGAAAAGAGAAAGAAAAGACTCTGAAACACCAGAGATTTCCAAATCTGAAGAAGAAAAGCCTACTGCAATTTCGTCATCTAAATCTGAAAAAATTGAATTGATAGAACACTCAGAACAGTCCGAAGCCATAGAAGAGAAAAAACATGAAGAGAAAGAAGAGTCTCATATATCTGAGAAAAAGGAAGAGAAAGACTCTAAACCAAAGGAAATTTCCAAGTCTGAAGAAGAAGAAAAGGCTAGTGATAAAAGCATTATTGAAACATCATTTAAACCTTTAGATACCGAATTAAGTAAACACACAGAACACATCGGAAAAATAGAAGAGGAACCACATGAAATTACATCGAAATCTTCTGTAGCTCAAGAAATTAAAAAGGACGACTCGAAAATAAAAGAAATTTCTAAGTTTGTCGGTGAAGAAAAAGGTAGTGACAAATGTACTGCCGAAACTTCACCAGTTAAATCAGGAAAAACAGAATTAATTAAAGGACATACAGAACACTATGAAGAAATAGAAAAGAAGCCAATTGAAATGAAAGAAGAATCTTCTGACAAAATAGAAATAAAAGATTTTAAAGCAAAGGATATTTCTAAGATTGAAGAAGAACAAGAAGATAGCTGTAAAAGAATTGCTGAAACGTCAGTCAAATCTGAAAAAATTGAATTAATCGAAGAACATACAGAACATCACGACGAAATACAAGATAAGCAAAATGAAATAAAAGAGGAATCACTTTTATCTGAAAAAGTGGAAAAGAAAGAGTCTGAAACAAAAGAAATTTCCAAATCTAAAGATAAAAAAGAAAAAGATAGTGATATAACTAGTGCTCAAATCTCACCGATTAAATCTGGAGAAACTGATTTTATTAAAGAACATACAGAGCAGTCTGAGAAAATAGAAGAGAAACCACATGGAGCGAAAGAAGAATCTCATATAATTGACAAACTGGATGTGCAAGACTATAAAATAAAGGAAATTTCCAAGTCTGAAGAAAAAGAAAAAGGTAGTGATAATAGTATTGCTGCAATTTCGCCAATTAAATCCGGTAAAATTGAATTAACTAAGGAACATATAAAACAGCCTGAGGATGTAGAAGAGAAACCACATGGAGTCAAAGAAGAATCTCATATATCTGAAAAACAAGACGGAGAAGACTCTAAAATAAAGGAAGTTTCCAAGTCTGAAGAAGAAAAAGAGGGTGATAAAACTATTGCTGAAATTTTGGCAGTTAAAACCGAAAAAAATGAATTAATTAAAGAACACACAGAGCAGTTTGAGGCTATAGAAGAGAAACCTTATGCTATAAAAGAAGAATTTCATATACCCGAAAAATTGGATATGAAAGATTCTAAAATAAAGGCAGTTTCCAAGTCTGAAAAAGAGAAAAAAGATAGTGATGAAAGTATTGCTGAAATTTCAACAGTCAAGTCCGGAAAAATTGAACATACAGAAGACCATAAGGATATAGAAGAGAAACCACATAGACTGAAAGAAGAATCTCATGTATCTGAAAAATTGGACGTGAAAGACTCTAAAATAAAGGAAGTTCCCAAGTTTGAAGAAGAAAAATGTGATGGTGAGAGTATTGCTGAAATTTCGGCGCTTGGGTCTGAAACAATTGAATTAACTAAAGACACTACAGATCAATATGAAGAAATAGGGAAGAAACCACATGCAATAGAAGAGGTATCTCTTATACCTGAAGATATGGAAAAGAAAGGCTCTAAGACAAAGGACATTCCTCCTAAGTCAGAAGAAGAGGAAGGTAGTGATAAAAGTATTGTTGAAACTTTCTCATTAAAATCTGGACAAATAGATTTAAGTAAAGAGCATACAGAGCCGTGTAATGAAATAAAAGAACAACATGGAATGATAGAGAAAACATCTGAAGAAATTAAAAAGGGAGATTCCAAAATAGAAGAGATTTCTTTATGCGAAAAAAGTAGTGACAAAAGTAGTACTGAAACCCCGGCATTTAAATCTGAACAAATAGAATCAACTAAAGAATTTATACAACACGAAAAAATTGGAGGGAAATTACATGAAATGAAAGAAGAATCTACATCCGAACAACTTAAAAAGGAAGACCTAAAAATGAAAGAAGAATCCAAGCTTGAAGAAAAAAAAGATAGTGAAACGTCGCCATTAGGGGAAATTGCATTAACTAAAGAAGAAAAGGACAAAAAAGTAGAAAGTAAAATACACGAAATGAAAGAAGAATCTTCTATATCTGAACAAATAACGAAAGAAGATTCTAAAATAGAATTTGCTGAAAAAGACAAACAATCCAAGTTAATCAGAGACGGTCTAGAAGAGTTTGAAGAAAAACCACAGGAAATCAAAGATTCTGTATCTGAACAAATTAAGAAAAAAGAAGTAGAGCACAGTAAAGAAACTCCAAAATATGAGGACGATAAAATTCAGCCAAAGGAAGTTAAATCTGAAGTATTAGATAAAAAAACAACTGCTGAACAGATAATTGAAGAAGAATTGAAAACTAGAGAAGCAGATGATGATGATACAGATGAAGAAAGATCAACGGATAAAATAGAAACGGTAGGAAAATTGCCAAAAGATCGCGAAGAAGATGTTATAAAGATAGTAGCTACTGTCGCTGAAGTATTAAAGTCAGATGCCCCATTGGAGGAATTTGAAGGAAAGCTACCTATAAGTTTTGACGCATGTAAAACTGCATATGTTACAGAACTAAGAGAAACACATATTACAACAACTGAGTTACCAGACGAAACTGGTATTCCACCAATTCCAGAAGAGTCATCTACTTCTCTACGTAGCGAAACTGACGAAGAAATTAAAAAATCTTTTGAAGAAGCAGTTACTATTCCCAAAATTCTACCTGATGATATTAAAGAAGCCCTAGAGAAAGAGTTGTCTGACATTGAGGATCAAAAAACCGTACAAAGAATGTTAGTTACGGCCTCTAGTGAAGATGGAGGAGAAGAAATTGAAATTTGTCCAGTTGGTACTATAATATTTTCTAAAAGTTCGGAGAGTTCAGGCCGATCTTCCCCTGAAAAGTCACAAGAGTCCAAAAAGTCGTCCATCGTCGATACAATTTCTGATTCACTTACTACAGTGAAGCAGTATACAGAAGCAGAACTAGATGCAGGTAATATACGCCTTTTCGTTCATAACTTTGACAAGCATACTGGACCTGATTTTGAGCAATAAAGTTTCTATGAATATAGTTCGTAAATGAGGTTCAAGAAGGTAAATTTAATTTTTATATGAAAGTCACTGACTAACATTTCGCTCAATGCATCAGTGGCGTGCATAATTAATAAGTCAAAATTATGCACAAAAAAACTGTGCGCATGTTTTTTTCAGAAATCGCGAAACTAGTACTAGAGTTATTTCATTGCAGTGCATATTCCCTCTAATAATACCAATGCTTTTAGTAGTTACTGTCACTGATCAAATTACTCACCAGATACTTCTGGGCTCCCGTGATAGTGACAATATATATGTTTTCCAAAGTCTTCAATTATATTTGACTCTTGTTATATATTTGTTTTAGATATTGGTAATGTTAACTCTGAACAAGATTACCTAATATCTGATGATAGAACTAAAGACAAAGAAGAGGTGACGTCTTTAGGAGACATGGCCATTGAACAGACCGATCAAAAGTATTTGAAAGAAGATATGGAAGATGGGATGGAAGACGAATTACAAAAAGAGGAAATCAAAGAGGGAGAACAAAAAGGAACAGAAATTTCTTCCTATGTTAGAGATGAAAAATTAACTGGAGAAGTACATTTACCAGAAGTATGTTCCAAAATAGTGGATGGAAAGGAAGAAGAAGAAATGGAAGACACTAAAATTAAACCACACAGTGAAAAGGATATTTTATCAAGTTCGGTAGAAGGTATAAAAGATTCATCTACATCGAAAGTTAGTGAAACTATATCTGATAAAACAGTTGAAGCAAAGGGCATTAAAGAGGATAGTACTGTTTCAGAAAAACCATTAGAATTGAAGTCAACCGAAAAAGTTAAAGATAGTGTAGATGTAGGTATTGACGAAAAAAGAACTGCTCCCACTTCTGATATAACCACTGCAGTTATTGATATTAATGGGGATCATACCCTTCCAGAAAAAGAGTTGCCAATAAAACCTAAAGACTATGTAGATATGGGTCAATCAGTTAGTGATAAAGTTCACACAATTGCTTTTAGAGATATTCCAGAAAAATCATTAGATAAAAAAACCGAAGATCATGCAGATAGAATAATTCATGAAGATTCTTCCCCTCCCACTCCTCCAGAAAAATTATCAGGATTAATCACAAAAACTGAGGTAGATGTGGCAAAACCGGTTGATGAAGACAAAAAAATTATTTCAACCTCTGATATATCCCATTCTGAAAAGGAGTTACCTAAAAAAATTGAAGATCATGTAGATGTGGATGGATCAGTCGATGAAGATAAAAAAATTGCTTCGACTTCTGATAAACTTCATGCAATTGATTTTAAAGGTGATAAGGTTCATCCAGAAAAACTACTAGAGATGGGGGTAACTGAAGTTCATGCAGATGTAATTAAATTAGCTGATAAAGATAAAAAATCCGTTCCTACTTCTGATGTGTGTTCTGATCCGTTAGACCAAAAAGCAAGTGAATCTGCAACAGAAACAAAGAAAATGGATCATACATGTGAAATTTCAGATGGAAGTAAAACTCCGATTGAAAAAAGTGAAGACGAAAAGGAAAGAAAAGAAGATAAACACGACTTGGTGACAGAAACGGTTACGTCCTTGTTAGGTAAAAGTGAGAAGGAAGGTAGTAGTGAAATCGACATGAAATCTGGATCTTCTAAGGAAATTAAACAACCCGTTCAAGAGTCAGAGATTGTTCTTCAAAAAGAAATCGGAAGAGAAGGTCAGAAGCAGGATGATAAAGATTTTAAAAGTCAGGATAAAAGAGATTTAAGTGAATCTGTGTTACAAGGTAAATCTATTGCTCCTCCCCCTGATGCGGTGAGTTCAGATGAATCTGGAAAAAGTAGCGTGACCAAGGATGTGAAGGAAAAACCTAAAACAGATTCTACACCATTAGATACATTTTTTGAAGATTCAGTATTAAAAGATAAGAGACATAGCAAAGACACTGACTTAATGTGCGAATCATTCTATGGGACGTTGCCTGGTGACGAAAGTGAGGAATCGGAAGAGTCTCAGCTACCACCATCATGTTTGTATGAACTAACAAACGCTAAATACATTTCTGAATGTTCCGCGAGCACAGCAGATAAGATCGATGCAAGTGAAGGTGAAAAGTCAGAAACAGAAATTTCTAAGACTGCTGACACGTCTTCTGATAAAATACAAAAAGAGTCCGCTGAGGCTGGGGAATGTTTGGACAATAAGTTAGAAGCGAAGACATCTTCCCTGTATTTATATGAGCTGACTAAAGCAAAAGAATACATAAGGAGCAGAGTTGGTAGTGAAAGTGAAAAAAAGGCTGATAAAATTGCTTCGTGGGGTAAGTATAATATGTATTTATGTCGAAAATTAAAAATAATAGTAGAAGTACTAGGATACTTCACTCCATGTGTCGAAACGACAAGTGCTAACACGTTTTGTAGACACATCTGTAACATCGTGATGTGGTGACGTCACTAATGAACTGATTGTCTAAAATATTACGTCTTAAATTGAAAAAAAAAATTATATGAAGCACGTGCGCAAGATGCACAGGATCCTCTTACGTCTATGGTTAACATTATTAATTAATTTTCTGGAAAACAGAAGCATTTAGACTAGCACTTGCTTAATAAAGGTTGCTCATTTTCGTGCCTTTATCATCCTCTTCAAGGAACGCCCTGTATATATAATATTCGTATAACTATTTGTGTCAAAACGAGAGTCTGCATCTGGTTAATGACGTCATGCGCATAAAATATAACTTCTCTTGATCTAAACATATTACATGTGTTTTTTTTACTTTTTTTTACTTTTTTTTTTGTTTAGGTAAACCTCTTGGTCTTCCAAGCCCTGCCCCAATGACTGACAATAAAGGTACTCCGAAGAAAGAAAGGAAGCTTCCATTAAATATTTCAGTTAAAAACAAGTGGAACGACGACAAGAAGAGATCTGAATCGCCGTCGAAAACAAAAAATAAAAAATTGTGTCCAATCTACGTAGATTTAACGTATGTTCCGCACCATGGTAATTCGTATTATTCATATGTAGACTTTTTTAAATTAGTTAGGGCGAGATACTATGTATTTTCTGGTACAGAACCCGGCAGAGAAGTATATAATGCACTACTTGAAGCCAAACAAACTTGGGATGACAAAGAATTAGGTAAGAGCTTTTCAGAATCCATTTGTTCAAACCATCTCGATATTTCAATACTTTCAATAATTGAAATGTACAACAAATACATGTTACAACTAAATTATTAATGAAGAAAAATTATTGACAATAACTAAATAAATAATGTTCTAGTTTATTCGACATGTAAAATGATGTGAAAATCGGAAATTTGCATTTCATTTTACTTTATTCTACATTGTATGACATAAATTCAATCACTCTTTTGCCCACACTAAAGTCAGTCACTAGTGCGAATTCGCATCGATCGGACTTTTTAGACTTTCTAGTTCGGCCGACAATAATAGACTGAGGCCAGCTGTGATCCGGCTCGACTGTTTGGGCTATAGAAGAAATTATCGTGGTGGGGGAAGTCCTCGGCAGCTGCTATCTGAGAAATGTCAGCAAAAAAATGATGGTGCAAATACGCACTAGTGTGACCTTTGAGGGTTAAGTTAGTATCATCTACTAATACAGCCGATTTTTCAGAAGTAACAATCATTCCCACGTACGACACTGACGTGCTGGGCTATTGGGTTGCCGAAAATGAAGAATTGTTGACGAAGTGGAAAATAGATTTGTCCCCCTCTGCATCTCGTTGCACCATAAATTTACAAGACCATGAAACGTCATGTAGTGCTTATAGATTAGAATTTTAAAATTGTATTATTTTTAGTTGTAATAAATAGATATAGTGATACATTTTCACAAAGAAAAATATTTAATTGATGTGAATATGTAGTAATACTAATTCATTAAATTAATGCTAGTTATCACTAAACGGCTTATTCAGTGAAAAGAAAAATATCTGCTGTCAGACATTACTTGGTTAATAAATGTTTATGGAAAAAATTTATACGGTTTTCCTACCCAATGTTCCATAAGGTTTAACTATGTTTAACTATAAGCAACTCTCCCCAAACACAATAATCAAGTGGATTTAGATCTGGTGACCGAGCAGGTTAAGATGTAGGACCTTCACGGCTTCACTTATTGCGAAATGTTACGTCTAAATAGTGTCTTACAATATGATTAAAAAGACCAAGTGCATAAACAGCATTTTTGACATCTTAACGGAACTTTAAAGGCTCTTTCTTATCCTGAAGAAGAGGCAATTCGTTTTGATGTAAAAGATCAAAAACGATTTACGAAATAAAAAATTAAATGAGGGGCTACCGACCCTGAGATTTTGCAAAGGATTGCATAATCAGACTTCTGTAAAATATATTGTAATAGATTTTAAAATATCAAAGAGAAAGGCAAATTTAGGAAAATAAAATTGGTAAAATTGATTTTCAAGAAATACATTATAAGTTGAATAAGTGTGACCAATATGAGTACAGTAGATGGTCGAAATTGATAAAGAAAAGATAAAATAAATAAAAATTAGTAGGTATATATGATCAATTAAATTAAATTTTCGTAAAAAAATGAATTTCAAACAAAATTTAAAGAAATATAATGTAATAAAGTATATTCGAAATTGAAAATGTGATTGGTAATAAAAATTTGGATTACTAGAATTAGAAAGTGATTGAAAAAATTTAGTGGGACATGAAAAGAAATAAAAAATAGTGAGATAACCAGGAATAATAATAATTATAATTTGGGGAGCTGACTGCTAAAGTTTTGAAAATAAAATTTTTAATTTAAAAGGAAGTTACTTTGATTGCCAGAAAGAAACAAAATGTATTCAATAAAGAAAAACAATTTATAAAAAGGAGTAGAAGAATACTGTCTTAAGAACTAAATTAATTGAAGATTACAGTCAATAGAAACTTAAGTAAGTCCAATAACAAAACAAAGTTAACTGTTATAGAGTATTACCCAGTATCGAGTCAACACAGATCCATGTCACCGACAGGGAATAGTAATATAGAAACATCAGCAAAGAGACAAACGACAAGGAGTTACATGACAAATGACAAGTTAGGAACAGAAGTTGTGCTAACAAGTACAGGAAAGAAATAGAGGAGATAAAAGACCAAAAAGAAAAGAAATTCGTGTATTGGACAGTGGTAAAGAGGTATAAACCCCTATATAAAACAGATTTGTGTTAAATTTAATGTTTAAATCCAAATATTGTTGTTTAGTTTGTTAAAGTAGAGGAAGTGGCGTAGGTTTAATCACATCATGTTTATTTTAATTTGAAATTTATATTGGATCAGAGTAATTAAATGAATTAGAAATTGTTTTTACGAGAAATAGAATAATTGTGTTCAGTTAAAATTAAAATATAAATATTTTGTCTTTTCCTTCTCAAGATTAAGTATCTAAATTCATTAATCAGTATAATATTTTAAAATCAAAATACTAATCTTCTCAGAACCTTACCTGAGGTAAGACTACCCATATTAGATAAAAATTTGCTTGAATTTTAAATTAATTTTTTTTTTTCTCAAACAAAGACTTTCTCTATAAACATAACAAACAAAATTTGAATTAAATTACAACTATGTGCTCATGTGAGCTGGCGCCCAGACTATAAAGAAGAAAAATATGAAGCGAAGCAGAATAAGTAAATACAAGAAAATTTAATTTTATGAAAACTCTGTTCTTCAGGTTTAAACCCCTAGTTAACGAACAGGAGGGTAGAGACAAAAAATATATTACAGCAGAAATCGTAAGTATAAAAAAAATGGACATAAATACAATAATGCAATATAAGTAGCTTCTTAAAAATGTTATCATGTTATTAAAATAAAAAATAGCGTAGCGCATTAGTCAAAATACAATGAAATTGAAAATATACAGATTTCCTAATAAATCACACCAGATACACATTGTGTAAACAGGTGAATATTTAAACTTGACGACACCTTGTATCTCGGAAACGAAGGATGTTATAGTCTGTTTGGAAATGAAAGAGAGTAATAGAGAGTAATAAAACCCCGAGATAAGAACCGGCCATGGGCGTGGTAATATTTCGTTTCAGGTAATTATCGGGTAACACTAATGCTAACAAAATTGACAGGGATTGGAAAATCGACTATCAAAAAATGAACAAGATACTGTAAATCCCCCAAAATCATCTACAGGGTGGTCAAAAGTGGTTATAGATGATTTCTTCAAAAATGTCATTCGCAGAAAAGTACACTCATTTTATTTTAAAAAAGAAATACCAACGCTAAACAAAATTTTAAGTGAACTTTCAGAGGACAACGATTTGCCAAAAATCAGTAGAAGCAAATTATGGGCCGTCTTACGAGAGTTGAATTTTTGCTGGGAAAAGCAGAACAGGAAGTCAGTTCTTATCGATAAAGATGAAATTATTTGTTGGCGAAAATCCTACTTAAGATCAATTAGAAAATTCCGTGACGAAGGGAGGAATATTTATTATCTAGACGAAACTTGGATCAACGAGGAACATATTGTAACAAAAGTATGGCAAGACAAAAATGTAAAAAGTTTTCGACAAGCATTTTTGGATGGACTTTCAACAGGGTTCAAGGCACCTTCAGGTAAAGGGCGAAGATTAATAGTGATACATATAGGTAGTGCCGGCGGTTTTGTAGATGGCGGTTTACTGTTATTTGAATCTAAAAATACAGGTGACTATCACGAAGACATGAACGCAGATGTTTTCGAAGAGTATTTTACACAGATGTTGGATCTTATTCGACCGGGGTCTGTAATTGTCATGGATAATGCCAGTTACCATTCACGGCAGACCGAGCGGACGCCTACGACTGCTTGGAGGAAAGCTGATATAATTCAATGGTTATCCGGAAAAAAATTTATTTTGAAACAAATATGGTGAAAAAGGAACTTTTGACACTTGTCAATCTTAATAAAGATCAGAAAAAAGATGTTATCCATGAAATGGCAACAAATCGCCAAATACGCCATATCGCCACGGTACTACGGTTACCACCTTATCACTGTGAATTTAACCCAATCGAATTAGTCTGGGCGCAGGTAAAAGGAGATGTAGCGCTAAATAATACGACGTTTAAATTAAGTGACGTGAAAATTTTGTTAAAAAATTCCTTGGAACGAGTAACTCCAGATAACTGGCAAAGATGTATGCATCATGTACAAAAAGAAGAGGAGAAAATGTGGGAACTCCATAATTTAATTGACGTTACTGTGGAACCTATCGTTATCAATCTAGGAGACGAAGATAATTCATCAGAATATTCGGAGGATGAATTTTAATATACCTACTTTTTTATTTTCTTTATTGTACATTTATACAACACTACATTTACCCACCATAATTTGAATTTTCAAAATACATATATTTTTGTGTGGAATAAAAGTCTATTCATTAAATTTAAATAAATATTTTGATAATAATATTGAATAATTTTATTTGAATTACTAAAAACTCTCTTAACCCGGTTATGATGCTTAAAGTAGCCTCATGTTTTGAAATGCTGTTTTTATATTGTTTACTTATAAGAGAAATGGACCGAGAAATTGAAGCGGCATAGACAAAGACGGATTGTCGGGAATTAAATTTTAGCTACCAGCTACAATTTAGTACAGTCCGATCACACAAAGTTTTTTTAAAAGTACACCTCATCTATACGGAAAATACATAATATAAAAATATTGAATATAAGCACCAGTACTACATTTATTTACGATTTGCATACATAATAAGCTTTTATTACTCTCTTTCATTTCTAAACAGATTATAGTGCAGATGCGCTATTACGAATTTTTTATCTTATTTTTTTTAGTTCTATCATTTTCCCAGAAATTACTATCTTACCTATTTATAACACCCTGTATATAATCAAAGACCGCGTAAAGTTATACGCAATTAGGATTTTCAAGTTCCAATAAAAATAAATGACAACCATCTAAATAAAATGAGTTATGGAAAATTAATACTAATTGTTGCCAAATCAACTATAATAATTATTAGAATGTGATAATATGGAATACAATACAATTACAAGGTCTTAGATTTATATCCTTCATACTGAATATTAAATCTATCACACCTTCAATGCTAAACTAACAATAAAAAAACAATGAGATGAAGATAAAGTTTTATTAACAATAAAGGAAATTTTAGAAAACAATAGGAATTATAAAAATTTTTTGCCACGGTCTCAATCTAAAACATAAATTTTGATTACTTGGTAAATATTGAATAGCAAAGAATTAGTACAGCGATCACAAGCCACGTCATCAATAATCTTGATTGGAACAGTAATTTTATTTCCTCCATGTTATGTTGGCAATTAAATTTCGGTAAAAATAAAAATTATGATAACAATATTGTAGTATAACAACCCTAGGTTCGACAAAAAATAAGTAAACGTAGTTGTGGCCAAAAATATGTGATCGTCATAAGGACTACCTACGTTGTGTGTATTTATTTTTAATTGACCGGAAGGCGCTGGCTACTAACTTTGTAGAGGGGATGTATGGTTTAATTATATAAAACAAAAGCAGAGAAAATACACCTAACCTTTATTTACATACAATTCAAATTAAACATGTGACAAATAGAAAGAACAAAAACATCAACAACCATTAAACATAAAAGGAGAGTGCCAGGCTCACCTAGAGCTCCTGCGGGGAAAGAGCATGGCAGAGAAACCCACGATCGTTGCTCTTACCACCCAAATATAAATACAAAACAACCGCTAATCAAAGGCATAAATTAAGAACCTTTGCTAATGATAAATAAGACCTGTCTCATTTAATGTGTCACTAAATGTCATCTGTTACCTCATATTAGTCATACACACTTCCAAGTAAAACTGAAGAGGTTTGGTGTTAGTTAGCCGGCAGAGCCGGAAGGTACTGAGGTCCCATCATACGG